GGTGTAGTGGTTGAACATGCTGTGTTGGACACTGAATTTTTAGGTCGCTGGTTCAATTCCTAGCGGTGGCATTTTTTTTTGCCGCCGCTGCACCCGCTAACAAATATTGTACACTTGACCTTGATCAAGAGCAGCTGTCCTTTGATTGACTTCCATGCATATCATCTTTATTCAATACATCTCACAGTGAACTTGGGCATGAACTTGAACAGGGACTTGGAGGACTTGGCCAAGTACCTGGTACTTGGCCAAGTCAACCCACCCGACTTGGCCAAGTCCATTGGACTTGGGGTACTTGAGGTACTTGGGATACTTGAGGTACTTGGCCAAGTACCCCAAGTACCTGTACAAGTCCGTGACGTTTTCCTGATGCTTGTCCCATGCATCGGCCCATCCTACAGAACCTTCCTTGCAGCGGGGATTGCGAGTGTACATCCACGCAACGGTCATGCGCGGCTCTGAAGACGGTCGCGGGGGAATGTCCTGGGAGCGATCGAGAGTCCAGTCGATGACTGTCTTACTGAGAGTGGGTGTATCACCCTACGGAAGGCCCGGAATCAATGCCACAAAGAGCCACATGAAGCCTCGCGATGCTACTCACCTGAAGCATGTCGAGCTGAAGAAAGCGAAGGTGAGGAAAGTTCATTGCCACATCGTACAGAGACCATGGCGTATTCCAACCCCCACGACGACCGCCCAGCCGCAAGCTGACAAGCTGGGGCATAAGGCTGCTGATGAGGCTAAGCTCCGGTTCAGTGCAAATAGGTCTATACAGATGCGTGACCTTGGTGGGAGTGCGTCTTCGCCTGACGCTGTCCGAGAAGAAGGGGGAGTGGTACCCGAGGACACGGAGTGAGCGCAGTGACGTCCAGAGCTCCAAGATTCCAACAGTGCCTTCGAGAAGGTATTGCGACTGGGAGATGTCAAGCTCGTCGAGCTTCTGATGGACTGTGAGGAACCTGTCGAGGTAGGAGGCTGAAGTAATGGGTAAATTGGTTGTAAATCCGCGGAGATGGGGGAAGCACATCGTGAGTACAGCGTCGCAGGTGCGCTGCCCAACACAATCCCGGTAGTCGTAGTCTATTAGCGTTAGATAACGCAGACTTGACAATGTTGGTTGGAAGGGATAGTATCCTGTGGATTCTGTGAGCTCGAGTACGTGCACAAACTTTGCGCGTTTGGCAGACGATTTGAGCGCCCTATCGAGAAGAGGGATAGTATAGTGACTTTTGAGGACCACAGTGCGGTAGAGAAGGGTTTCAGTGATGTCGTGGAATGCGTGATTGACAAGCATGAGCTGAACCAAGGTACGTCGGTCTGAGACGAAACTGAGGACTTCGACCCAGAGCTCGAGAGGTAGCTGCAGTGGGATAAACCGGCCAACGGAAGATGCTATACTCGTGCAAGGCAGTGAGGACAAGGTATTGCTTTCTCGGCGAGTCACTCACTGGGCGGTGTCCTGTATACCTCTCTATCGCCTGATTTCGCGCTGGTCTCTCGGAGAAACAGCCTTCCGAAGAACTCGAGGAAAGCTGAAGGCATGGTGGAAGAACTGAGAGATTGGGGAAAGGGCTGGACCCGAAAGCGCGCACGTTTCAGGGGATTGTGAATGGTGGCGGTGTTGGAGGAAAGGATCGCGCGCACCAATTGATGTGGGGGAATACGGTCTGTCGAACTGTCATTGAAGAAGCAATCAGTATGTCCAATCTGCAACATAAGGTTTGTTCGAGGAGATGTGTCGTGGCCAGCAAAATCGGTCTATCAGATCGCAGCGCATCGCATTAGTGTCAGGGTACATCGCAAAAGGCGCATACTGGCATATTGGTATATTGGTGCATATACGGAATAGCCATAAAGTGTCATGAAAGGGAGCAGATACGAGAGACGATACGCGATAATCGACAGCGTAATGCTACACAGAGCACAGAAAGCACGAAATGCCACGACTGCCACAGCTGTAATGAACATAGATGAAGTATCACGGGAACTAATTAGGTGACCTAACTGATCGAGGTGTCAGTAAGCCGTGAGAAGCCTCTTCCACAGGAGGATACTTACCATAGGAAGCATTCTTGGATTAAAATATATCTACAGGACCTCATGACGTGAACGCGCAACTAACGCGGGCCCCGCTTAGCTCTTGCGCCTGGGCCTTCTTTCGAGGGAGGTCTGTTCGATTGCCTTGATTTCCTGCTTCTGTTCCCGAATGTCCTCGGGGGTCATCTGCAGATAATACTCGATCGTCGCTGGATGGGCATTCTCGACATGGGCGACGAGAGCTTCTCCCGGCGCGTGCGCAGCAAGCCTCGTCGTCGGTGCGTTGGGATATTTCTTCTTGCGTTCACTGACACGGACGTTAACGTCGGCAGAACCGCTTCGAGATGGGACTGAAGGGGACGTACTCGCATAATCGGCACTTGTACTGGCCGTCCTCACCGAGGCGCTGGTAGATCAACTCTATATGTGCGATGCCGAGCTTCTTCGGCGGCGCGGGCTTGGATGGACTGGATTCGGGGGTGTCGGTATGCAGCTGGACAGCGTTCGTGGGAGAAGGAAAAGACAGATTGCAATTGGCGAAGGCATCCACAACTGGCGTGATTGGCGGTGCTTGCGGAACAATTGCGGACGTAGATACTGACGCAGCCGGTGGAGGCTCTGTATAAACAGCCGTTGGTGGAGGAACCGAAGGAACTGATGTAGATTCAGGAGCAAGAGAGTTGACGAGATTAGAAACGGGAGCGGTGTCCGCAGGCACCTGCCTAGAGCGAGTACTTGACGTAGTGGCAGATGGGTAGGCCGGTGCAGAACTGGCACTCAGAAGTAGGTCCGACATAGCTACATGCTGAGGAGGTGAGGCCACGTCGACGGCAAAGGAGCTAGGCGCGGGTGCGGTGCCATGCTGCGTATCGGGCGCGATGTCTCTGTCGTTTGTCGCATGTGCAGGAGTCTTAGGCCGTCCAGCATCCCGTTCACCGCCATGGTTGCCCGTAGATAGAGTTGCTGACTCGAACTCTACCGGCGGAAGCGACACCGCGGGTTCAGCCGCCATCGACTCGGCCACCGCTATCAACGAACGCAAGAAGGAGTTGTTCATATCGGTCAACGGAGCACCATCCCCTGCCGCTTGTTCCGCCAATGGGCCGTTTTGCACCGCTGGTTCAAGAGTTGCAAATGAGTCGACGACCATGTGGTCCTCGGTCCTCCGCCTCTTGTTGGGAGTTACCTGGCGCTCGTTCCACCCCGTCTCGGGAAGACGCTTCCTCTCCTCCGATTCTGATGCTGGCTCATCCTCCTGAGTGCGACGCGAGAAAGAAGGAAGGTCTCCCGTGAGCTGCATGGGCGAATCAGTGACCTCACCCTCGTGGGTGAGGTCGATGATCTCGAGCACCCCGCTCACGTCGACGTGGCCCAGCTCCGGGATGGCACAGAGCATCGCAGCCCCGTCTTCCTCCTCCACCTTTGGCACCGGTGCGGCAGATGGGACAGCCTGGGCCTGTGTCGCATCCGGACATGGGGCAGGCGCTATTTGCTGACCGAGTTCTGCAGCGTTGAGGCGGGGACGAAGGGGCAATGGCGGTGTCGGAAGCATGTGGGAGGGTGATACAGTGGCTTGCGTAGGTTGTGCTTGGGCTTGCGCAGGCCCAGACGCAAGCTGAGGTAGTGACTGTCTGAGCTCTCCGAACCAGGACGCGGGACATTGTGGATGGCACTCACCTGCAGCAGCATCGCCTGGAAACGCTGAACATCTTGCTCCCGTTGCTTCTGTTTACGCAGATTGATCGCCTGGGCCAGAGCTGTACGACCGGGGATATATGAGCATTAAGATAGACTGCTACAGACATTCACTCGATCGCATACGACATACCAAACGCAGTCTCCGCATCGACCGCACTCGGCGAGCTAGGCCCCTTGACAGGCCCCCCGACCCCAAACGCGAGCCGCTCCTCCTTCACCTGCACCCCAGACTCCACACCCTGCTCCGCCTTCACGTCGCCCGCCTCATCGGGACGAGCTCGCGGTACGACGAACATGCTCGTCACGGCCTGCGCAGACCCCGCCTGCGCATGCCCCGCGAGCGTCGCCTGCACCTGCACCTGCAGCTTCTCCCGCAGCTCGCGATTCGCCGCCTGCGCGCTCGCGAGCTCCGCCTTGATCGCGTCGTGCTCGCCCTTGAGCTGGTAGTGGTCGATGACGAGCCGCGGCATCACGTTCTCCTTCATCTTGCTCACCTCCTCCACCGCCGCCTCCGCGTCCTTCTTCACGCGCTCCGCGTGCTCGCGCGCGCGGTCGCGCTCCTCCGTCAGCCGCGCGTTCTGGTCGCGCAAGGCGGCGATCTGCGCCTGCGCCTGCGCCTGCCGGAGGTCGGCCCTGACGAGCATGCTTTGCAGCTGCGCAAGGTGCTGGGCGAGCGTGACATGCGCAGACGTGAGCGCGTCCGAGACGGACTGGCGGATGGGGTCGAGGACTTGACGGGCCTGTGCATTGGCCGCTTCGGCGACCATTTGCACTGCCTCCCGATGACTCGGGTTGTGCGGACCCGCGGATGTTGATGGCGGTGTGGTGAGGGAGGGTTGTGACATGGTGGGTGGTCGGGGTTGAGTCTTAGGAGGCGCAGACGCGCTCACGGGTTGGAAGGTCGACAAAGACGGTGCCGACGGTGCCGATGCTGGATTGCCATTTGAGCTGCGCGGCTGCGCCGGTGCTCGTGAAAACTCAGGGGCTTGTGGCGGGTTAGACGGCCCTGCATGAGCAGCCGGTCTGTCAGGCGACTTGCTCGTCGGCGGTGGTGGTGCGTTGTTGCGCGAGACTTGGCCGGGTGGCGTTTGCCTCAGATCTTGATAACGAGCTGTCTGCTGAAGCTGCGATGTACCGACGCTTAAAGCTGAAGATGGCATGGAAGCTCGCCGCATAGCACTGATGTCAGCAGGGCCTTGACCTTGAGCGTGGTTCGCAGATGGAGGGGGATGATGTGCGTGACTGGCTATCAGTTGCCCGTAGTGGTTAGAGTGGTATTGCGGCGGAGGATAGGGAGCGTGTTGTGGGTGGGACAGAGACGCAGGCCGCGCAGGGCCGGGTCCGGCTGGAGATTCGCGGTGAGTGTAGCCGTGAGGCGCGTGCTATTCGAAGGACGATGCATCAGTGAATGAAAATAAAGTAATGAGTCGAATCTCGAGACTGGTCCATGGCACCTCAAATTCCCTACCCACACGCTCCCTAGTCAAAAGCCGGCTGCCTGGCCGTCTGATTGGCGTCTGGCGAAGACGGACAAGATGCGCACTTGTATGAAATTTGGGAACAAGGAAGTCAAGCCCCGTTCTGCACAGACCAGATTACACGGTGGCGAGATTGCACATAAGTTCGAATGTCCTGGCACCACAACAAACGCCTGCGTCTAGGATAGAAATACCCGGCAAGGTTGAGCGAATCCTGTCAATCAAGGCACTACACCTAGATTGACTTCGTCCAATACTGTCTATCAGGTGGGGAAGAGTGCTAAAGGCAAGGGGGAATACCAGAAGCAGATAAGCATCGATCTCGGGCCGCTGCGACTCGATAGGCGATTGCAGTGCGTAATATTGTGCTTAGATGAACATTCAGATCTCCGTGTTGACTGTATAGCAGCATGTGTGCTGGATACTGGTGCCAGCTGCCACAACGCAACTGCAGTATACAGGATACATCCATATCTGGGCAAGACGTATGGTGCGCCATTGTGGTGCACTTAGCAGGGGAGCCAAAGAAACGAACGAGAAGAAGACGGAAAGGGGCGATGAACGGCACGTACCTGAACGCTCTGAGCTGGTGCGCGGTGTCCTGAGGAGCCCGATGGACCTGCTTGGGCATTTTGAGGCATCCCCTGGTACTGCTGCGTCGGATACTGCATTCCCCGTACCCAGGTTCCTTTGTCAGAGGGGGAGGGCTCGTTTTCATCGCATAGAGGTACCGGGAACTCACCTGGTAACCGCCCTGACGTGCCTTGCTCGTGGCTTCCGCGTACAGGTCCCAAGCGTGGGCCTGCTGCGAGGCAGACAATGCATTGGGTGCGCTGCCTCCTGGCTGTGGGATATGTGAGTGTTGCTGGCCTTGCGGAGGGCCGGAGATGGCTGCGGGACGAAGTCCGGACTGCGTCAAGGACTGTCCGTGGTTCCCTTGCATGCCGCGAGCTAAGGACTGGCAGCGAGCGTAGAAATGGTGGCAACGAGAGAGACGGTGGACGTCGGCTAGATTTTGCTATGGGCCATGGGGAGTCAGGTTAAATGTAAATTTGAGATATGATAGGGCGCAAGTTCGGGCGGGCGTAGAGCAAGTCCTTAGCGCCGTGATCTCGATCCGAGTGCTGGAGCCGAAAAGGAAGGAGGATCCTCCAATATGATGGGACTATTAGAAGCCAATTGCAACCCGGCGATTGACGCGATTACCACTGCGCTGCTGCTTTCTTGCTGCTTTGAGCTGCAGCTAGCCTTCCTTTTCCTGCAGCTCATCGGCCCTCCGGGGCCACGACATTGACGTATGTTCCCATAACCTCATGTCGCGAAGCTTCATGCACGCTGCTCACTGCACGAGAGAACAGGCGAGCACGGAAGTAGAAGTTAAGAATGGCGGGTCTTGTACATAACTTGTCGGCATACTGGGGAAGCTGATGTAGCATGTCTGACGTGCCCTGCCGTAATTGCTTCTCAGGGCTGCAAATCCCGCGCTATCCTCCTGCCTTTCGTAGTTCACTGCAATATACATATCGGCGAAGCAATTTGATAAAAGAGGACATAGTCCACCTCTACGGGCCTGCTCCACCATGAAACTTCCGTCGCGTCGGAGGGCTCGGATCAGCATCACTACCATGATGCTCATTCACCGCGTTTAAGGACCTGCTGGTTCAAGCGCGTGTACGCGAGCAAGTACTAGCCAGTACCAGCTAGTTGAAGGGTGTGAACGGCAAATCGGGTCAAATGCCTGGTTAGATGCAAATCGACATAAATAGGCGAACTTATAATATGTAGTTGGTATTTCAACTCCGACACACCCTCGTATCCTGAAGAAACTGCAAATCGTCTTGATGAAATGGCCTACTATAGTCTACTCGAACCGTGAGTCGATATGTAGTTTATAAGTTGTGAGTATCTTGGTCTATATCTAGGGTTAGCACCTTGACTCACCGGGAATATCCAAGCAGGTTTAATCAAGCCTCAGATCTCAGATATCAAGCTGACGGCGCTCGACTTAGATGAATTCACATCTTTATCCCCTTCCATCACCTTCTCTGGACCCCGAGTCTGGAGACCGCCTCAAACTTGCCCCGACACATCTCTCTCAGTAAGGCATCCTCCTCCATGTCATATGTAGACTCCTTCTGACCTACATGGGATGCTAACAAACACTGCTTTTCTAGGGGTTCCCTTGGGTCACAGGCGGCGGCGATAGTGGAGGGTGTGGGATGGGTTTTGTGGGAAATTGGACATGGGTACGCTTATCTCGTAACCTTAGGGAGTATATCCGTATACATGCCGCTGGACTAGGTCTACTATAGCTGTGCGGTCATGGCCTCCGCTGGCGGTGAGTACTTGAAGTACCTATATGCGACTATATGCTACCTTTTGCGGACCTGCTTACCATGTTCTCCCTTCCCTTGGCCCTTTGCCGTCAATGCACGCTATGGCTGCCCTTGCGGTGCAGGCATGCCCGTCTGGATCGCGGGTGGGGTCCCATGGTGAGCGCTAGTACCTGCTGTGCTGCCCTCGCTAATACTGCTCCTCAACAGTGTTTGCTTCATATATACAGGTAATTGGTCCTAGATGTTTCGAATATCCAGGTCGCTGATATTTCCGGGGCAGATGTCCATTGTTAATGAAGCAGGTGGGAGCAGTACTAGTGGGCGGGCGCAATACCAGCACGGGCGGCTAGAGCGCGCTGCGATGCCAAACTTGTTGGTTTTTTTTACGAGACCTGCTTGGTAGCTCCCATGTGTACTAGACAGAGTCATTTGAAATATACCAAGCTCTTTACACAATCAACTCCCTCGTGTGTTACTGCCTCAAACAGCCGACGTATATGACCCGTTCGAGTAGTCCGTCTATTTGAACCCCAAACTGCACGCGTGAATGTCCCCTGAAATTTCCATGTGTTTGAACTGTCAGTTGGGCACCTCCTAACATCGTGATTACATGCTCTGGTCGCATGCACGATTGTGTACGTCAAACCATCTATTCACACGTATACCCAGTTCGCACAAGTTCGAGTGGCCTACTGATTAGTACTCCGACCAGACTCCGATTACACACTTGTTCACAGGCACTCGCCCCTCAACCAGGAGGTCCTTAAACCCGGTGATTCTGCTGTCTACGTTTCGAACATGTGTTACCTAAGCTCCCCAATACAGGGTCGTATATGTTGGCCGAACAAACGTAAACTGCGCCTCTTGCTAGAGCCCTATGTCACCCAGGACTACAGCTTTGCTTTGCTGATACATACATTGCCGCTCCGTTGATTCGGATATATGCATGGCCTTGGGGTAACACACCGGCAGTCTGGTTCCTGCTCGTGACGCTTAAGCTTCAATGGTCAGTGCTTTCCTTCGTCGAAGAGAGAGGAGCACATGAAATATCTTACATTCTGTTGAATGGGCAGATGGGCATCCTTGTTATCGATGTGTACATCCGCTGCGCGACTGGTCATGCTACCTTGATATACACGGTGACCATCTCGCATAGAAAGGCACTCACGGTCCTGGGAGGATAGCCCCGCTTCGTCCGCGTTGTCTTACCTTCTGATCGCGTGCATTCGCGGTGCCTTGCAGGTGACTCCTTCTCTTCCTTACGATATGACAGAACCCCCACCCGCGGAGCTTTGGCATTCATAGTCGGTGTTTGCCGCACCTCCATGGCCTAACACACCTCGTTTGGTCTCTGTCGAAGTGAGCCGTTCACTGTATGTATCACGCACCTGCCACACAATGAGAAGCTGCGCGAACCGTTGGTCATGAGTACAATATCACATTCGTTATCCGCCTGTCGATCTATTGCATGTGTAACTGTACTCAGCGATCATCCAGCAAGGTGCGCACCTTAGACCGTGTTTGCCGGTCATACGTACTGGAGGACTCACGGGGACGAACCGTGTTACAGTGTCGACGCTACCCCTCCTGGCTTGCACGTGTTGTGTGTAGTAAAACGTCAGCCTGTCGTAGTACTGACACGTGCTCATTCATTGCTCTCAATACTTATGCAGCTGACGAGTCATGGTTATGCTCTTAGTGGCTCTAGACGCTTCCACTTGTGTCAGAACATACTCAGGCATGAAGACACGCTTCTGCAACGTCGCAAACACGCCTCTAACACGCCCAAGTCCTAACCCCAGGACAGGGTCTCGCAGGTCAATCGGAGCACGAACTTCAGCGCCGGGTGAGTCAGCTCCGTCCGAAATTTGCCTCAAGTGCGGCCGCGCAAAAAACGCAAAGTCTGGCAAACTCTTGCCCACCCCTCCACCACCCACCCTCCTCACGACCCTCAACGACGCTCAGACAAAATGCCCGCCAACGACCACCTTGACCCTGCGACGGCTGTGGCGGTCCTGAAGAGCTACGAGCGCCCGGACGGGCTCTCGGTCGCTGACCTGATGGACTCGCGCGTCCATGGCGGCCTGACGTATAACGACTTCCTTCTCCTTCCCGGCAAGATCGATTTTGCGGCGCAGGAGGTCACCACAGAGAGCCGGATCACGCGCAACGTCGTCCTCAAGACGCCGTTCATGAGCTCGCCCATGGACACGGTGACGGAGAGCGAGATGGCTATCGCGCTTGCGGTAAGCTGCAGTCGATGTCTTGAGCCGTGTTCGAGCGTGTGTGCGATGTATCCTATGTCCTCTTGCTTGTAGCTCCTTGGTGGAATTGGTGTGATCCACCACAACCAGTCCGCGGAGTCCCAGGCGGCTATGGTCCGCAGGGTGAAGAGGCACGAGAACGGGTTCATCAACGAGCCGGTCGTCCTCAGCCCCGACCACACCGTGGAGGATGTCTTGGACGTGAAGGAGCGGCTTGGGTTTGCTGGTATCCCTATCACCGGTGAGTCTTCGTTATTCCTTCTGGGCGCGTCTGAAGACGCGACCCGCACCGATTGTGATGAGACATAGTATATAACCTTCGTTCTTCCGAACTAACGCTCACCAGCGTGATTTGAGGAATACATACCCTTTCAGCTATCTGACTCTTACCTTGGCTTGTTCAACGTCATTCAGCAAGCTCACAACCTGACAGATAACGGCAAGCTCGGCGGGAAGTTGGTCGGCATCGTCACGAACCGGGACATCTCGTTCGAATTACCTTCCACTCCTCTGAAGGATGTGATGACCACGAATCTCGTTACCGGCACTCAGGGTCTCACTCTGCAGGAGGCAAACACCCTTCTCCGCGAGTCGAAGAAGGGCAAGTTGCCCATCGTCGACTCCGAGGGTCGGCTCACTGCCCTTGTCGCGCGCTCCGACCTGCTCAAAAACAAGACGTTCCCCCTCGCGTCCAAAAATCCTGAGAGCAAGCAGCTCTACGCTGCTGCCGCCATCGGCACGCGACCGGCGGACCGGGACCGCCTGAAGCTTCTCGTGGAGGCCGGCCTCGACATCGTCGTCCTCGACTCTTCTCAAGGTAACTCGGTCTTCCAATTCGAGATGCTCCGCTGGATCAAGCAGACGTACCCCAAGCTCGAGGTCATCGCCGGTAACGTCGTCACCCGCGAGCAGGCGGCAAACCTCATTGCTGCTGGTGCGGACGGTCTTCGTGTCGGCATGGGCTCGGGTTCCATCTGTATCACCCAGGAGGTCATGGCGGTCGGCCGTCCCCAGGCTACCGCTGTGTACGCCGTTGCCGAATTCGCGAGGAAGTTCGGCGTGCCCGTCATTGCAGATGGCGGTATTGGGAACGTCGGCCACATCGTCAAGGCGCTCGCCCTTGGTGCTGGAGCGGTCATGATGGGTGGCCTGCTCGCTGGCACGACGGAGGCCCCGGGAGAGTTCTTCTGGCACGACGGCAAGCGCGTCAAAGCCTACCGCGGCATGGGTAGCATTGTGCGCTCTTCCTTGTCCTGACGTCTAATTTCGCATATGCGCTAAACCGTCCTATGTTTTCAGGAGGCGATGGAGCAGGGAAAGCCCGGCTCTGCGTCCGCGCAGCGAGGCGAATCTGGCCCTGGGTCATCCAAGGCCCCCGCTAAGTCGTCGACAATAGAGAACGCGGCGACGTCGCGATATTTCTCCGAGTCCTCGGCCGTCAAGGTCGCCCAGGGCGTGTCGGGCGACGTCCAGGACAAGGGCACCGTCCACGCGTTCCTCCCGTATCTCTACACCGGGCTCCAGCATTCGTTCCAGGACGTCGGTGTGCGCAGCGTCAAGGAGCTTCAGGACGGCGTCCGCGCGGGCACGGTCAGGTTTGAGCTGCGCACGACGAGCGCACAGATCGAGGGGGGCGTGCATGGGCTGAACTCGTGAGTCGTCGTCCATCATGGTTCGGTGCCAAGAGTTTTGCTGACGGGTCTTGGCATCCGTTTTCTCCGCGCTGCAGGTACACGAAGCGGCTGTTTTCGTGAGTGGGTGGTCACAGGGTAGTTGTGCGGCATCTGGGTCGTATTGGCATGGCATCAGCATTGTATCAGTCAGTTTTCGCTTGTATCATCCGTTCTGCATCTACATTGCATATCACACGACATTCTACCGAATCCATAGTGGGGAACTCCTGCAGGGGCGGAGGCGGTTTTTCCCCGTCATCTGATCGAGTCGCCCACGTGTTCAACGGGGTCTTTTAGACTCATCCTTCGACATCAAAGAATATCGTCCTCGGCCCTTCCGCCTCGGAACATCATGCTTGTGCCAGCGTCGTGCTGCAGATTTTCCGTCCATCGACTTTGTCCTCCGCAAGTCCTTGTTGGTCTGTACTAAGTGACTTGTTGATCACAAGGCCCAGCGGAGGCGACAGGATCATAACGGACCGCCCTACCCTGGCTCTTTCTCCGTCAAATCCCCCGCGCATCTCGCGCTGAATGTCTTCGGTCTGATGATGGCAAGTTCCGTCGTCGTTCCCGCTCAGTCACAGTAGGCATCAAGGTTTTCAATACATTCGGCAACATGGCCGTCGAGGGACCAAGTGAAGGCTTTGCAGCTCCGAGGGTGTTAGGCGAGGGTATAAGTACGAGAGACAGCAGTATAGAGCCTTCCTCGTAGCCGTCCTCGCCCGTCTGCACAGGTCCCAAAATGAAGACCCTCACTGCACTCGTCGCCCTCGCTACGGCCCTCGCCGTCCCTGCCAGCGCTGTCGCCGTCTGGGGCCAGTGCGGTGTCAGTAATGTTCTTCATATCGGACGTCCTCGGATTCTGCTAAACCTTCTCTTGTAGGGCATCAATTACACCGGTGCGACCGCCTGCGACTCCGGCACGACCTGCGTCGTCGTCAACGACTACTACTACCAGTGCCAACCCGGGACCGGCACTGGGGGCGGCTCCACGACCCTTGCGCCCCCGACGACGACGTCCGTCTCGCCTGCGCCCGCGGCGACGGGCCTTGACAAAGCGTTCAAGGCCAAAGGCAAGAAGTTCTGGGGCACATGCTCCGACTCGAACCGGTTCAGCAACGCGCAGGACTCGGCGGTCACTGTGCGCGAGTTTGGCAGCCTCACGCCCGAGAACTCCATGAAGTGGGATGCGGTGAGTTGTCCGTTGAGTTTAGTGTGATCGGTGAGTAACTGACGGGGTCGAGTACGCGGTAGACTGAGCCTTCGCGTGGCTCTTTCACCTTCAGTGGCGCTGACGCGCTCGTCAACTACGCTACTCAGAATGGTCTCCTCGTTCGTGCTCACACCCTCGGTATGTGCACCGTGTCTTCACGCCTTGCTTCATATACTCATGTATCCTACAGTCTGGCATTCGCAGCTCCCATCCTGGGTCTCCTCGATCAACGACAAGGCGACTCTCACATCCGTCATTCAGACACACATCTCAAACGTCGCGGGCCGCTACAAGGGCAAGGTCCGCTCCTGGGATGTCGTGAACGAGATTTTCAATGAAGACGGCACCCTCCGCTCCTCCGTCTTCTCCAACGTCCTCGGCCAGAGCTTCGTCAACATCGCCTTCCAGGCGGCGCGCGCAGCGGACCCGAACGCCATCCTCTACATCAACGACTACAAGTGCGTGCTCCTCCGTGTCATTGTACGGGATTCATGTTGATATCGCATTCGTGTGATACAGCTTGGACAGCGTGAATGCGAAGCTCAACGGCCTAGTCAACCTCGTCAACTCGGTCAACAGCGGCTCCAAGCTCATCGATGGTATTGGCACTCAGGCCCATCTTTCTGTACGTTTACGAGCCCTCTTCCTCAACACACTTGATCTTCACGGTCATTCTCCTGCTTAGGCCGGTGGCTCGAGTGGCGTTGCTGCTGCCCTGCAGAAGGCCGCATCCGCCAACGTGGATGAGGTCGCCATCACCGAGCTCGATATCGCCAACGCCGTACGTCTCTTTTCGGCTTTACATGCCTTTCATAGCTGCTCATGTCTGCTCCGTGTAGCCATCCGCCGACTACGTGGCTGTCACTAAGGCCTGCTTGCAAACTCCTAAGTGCGTGGGCATCACCGTCTGGGGCGTCCGCGATCCCGTAAGTACAGTTGCCCCCCCCCCCTTGTGGCTATCCTCGCTGATGTCGCGGGTCCAGGACTCCTGGAGAGCTTCGAGCGACCCGCTTCTCTTCGACGCCAATTTCAACCCTAAGCCAGCCTACAACGCGATCATACAGACCTTGACGTCCTGAGTTGGCTCCTCTGGATCGCTTTAGCGAAAGGCAGGGTCTGGATGTGTTGTACGTTACCAAGGTATGGGAATCCCAGCATACCTCCTAACAAAGCCCATGCGCGACTTTTCCGGGCGAGTCCTGGTCGACAGGCTTGCGCGAGAGCGGGTACAAATTCGGTTCTGGAGTGCATCAGCAGTTACAAGCTGCGGGTTTCGGGATAAGGGCGTACACTACACCTAGATCTCTACGGATTCTGGAAAAGACTTTGGAGAAGTTTTTATTTGCCCTAAGGGTTTGGCGCACTAAAAATTTTGCACTTGCGCTATACGTGGTATTAGAAAGAGACGGAGGCCGAGAAACCAGTGGTTGCGGAGATGGACGTCAACGAAGTGTTTGCAGTACACATGTAGCTGCCGGCGCTCATGCCTATGCAACATCTTCGACCTTGACCACGAAGTGGCCGTTTTGGACCTGTCTTCCTTCCGCACGCTCAGTCTATGCTCTACCATTGAAACCTCAGGAATGCGGATGCGGTGATACTGGAGGTATAGGCATAACTTGTTTCCGAGGAAGGCTTGCGTAGTGTCAGCCTCTTTGGGCGGTGTCAGCCTCGACGACGATTCATATGGCACAGGTAGGTCATCAGTCTCTCTGCAATCTCTCGACTCGTCCTGTCTGTATTGCCTCCTGCACGGCTCCGGTTCCCCGCTTCAACTCTCCACCGTCTCAAGATATCCCGATATGGTCGCCATTCACCAGTCCGAGGATTTCGTCCGGGCCCTCTCTAGCATCATCTTCGCCTGCGTTACCACCGGCCATTCTACGATCAAACTCTTCGATCCCATCACCGGAGCTTTAGAGGACTACAGTCTTCTCAAGACATCCCTTGCTAGCGAATCGCACCTTGACTGTCCTGCAATTCGCCATTCTCCCCTAGGAAAGACTGCGTTGCCGCCGCCTCAAGTGGCTTTAGATGACATCTTGAACCTCCTCAGCGCGTATCTGGGAAAGGAGAACGTCCGCTGTTCGTCTCACGGGAAGCAAGCTTCGCCTTCTAGTATGTTGCTCCACCTTCAGATTCTGCCCCCACATAACAGCAAGTCTCGCCCCTCCGGACGCCAGCCTCTCGCTCCTAAGGATCCCGAGACTCATCGCATGCCCACCGCTGTCGAAAGTACCAAAGATGAAACCGATGTTTCTATCTACCCTGGTCCTCTGACGCAAATGAAGCGAGCCATGTTCTTTGGCGAAGGCCGCGAAGATAAGTGGCGGCCCTTCACTGTACTCCCTCCTACGCTCCTAGCTCTATGCAAGAACAGTACCCCACCTTTGCAAGACGACTCGCGCGTCTCGAGTGGGGATTCTTCTAGCTCGTCTATACAGTACACCCCTGCAAAGGCTCTCCAATCCCAGGACAACTTCCTCGACGCTAGCACTTGCCTCGATTCATCCCGCTCCCCTTCTCGTCTTGTTGGCCTTGGCTTCTCCGCGCTTGTCAAGGACAACGGTTCCTCCTTCGACGGACTTGGAACGCTCACTGATAGGCCCTATGACAACCTCCCTTCCCCAAGCGACGAGGCCCGCGCACGCGCGCGTGAGCGTCGCGACCGCCGCGTCTTCGGCGCTGCAGTTCTTATGCGTGACGATCTCGGAGCCAAGATCACTCCCCAGCTCCTGTCGGACATGCAGTCGCCAGCCCGGTCTCAAGCGCCCCCCTCACTCGACAGGCCTTTCGCGCCCTCGACCAAGATCTCTACACCCGTCAGCGTCAATGCCCTCGAGCGTGTTCCCCCCGCGGCGCCCGCGAAGCGTCTCATCGGCCGCATGCCGCTCGTGGTTGACGAGCGCACGAAGTTTCGCCGGGGTATAGGTCGGGAGACGCGGCCGCAGCACGATGTCTTCGCCTTCCAGCGCGAGCGCGTCTCGCCCGAGTGGCAGATGGAGAGCTTTCAGCGTCTGGGGGGTGTCGCCGGGTCGGCGAGGACGATGCGCGGAGGCGTGGGCTCGAGCAAGAAGTTTTCGCCGAGCCCGCTCGCGCCTCCGAGTGCGCTAGGGAATCAGCTGAGGTTCTGGTCGTATTGGATGACGCCGGTGAACGACGCGTCGGGGAGCATGGGTAGGCCCGCATGGAGGCCTTGAGCTTTGCAGGGCTACGACAGCCCGTCATGAGTTCAAGTGATGGACGACTTCAATAGACGGTGCATGTGGCAGCGCTCCAAGGATGTTACCAGATATTTCGAGGCATGTTGTGCAAATCTATGTCGTATGATGATAATGGTTCTATGGACAGAAGCGCATGTAGGTGTGTTGGCTGACTTGTCCAGTATCGGTAGAGGTATGTGCGTCTGACTACGATCTACAGCTCGCCGAATATGGTGATATTGGCAGCTGGCGGTACGTATACGAGATTCGCGATCAGGAAGCGGCTGTTCAACGAGGACCATTTCGGTGATTCTGTCTCAAGATGCCTAGGGCAGTACAGTACCGTCGAGTGAGTATTCGACCACCAATATGAAACGAGTAGACTCACAAGTACGCCTTGACCGTTTCGCCGACGCTGCATAAAGACGAAGACACAGTTCAGCTTCATCATACCCTTGGAACGCACTTTGCCCGCACTCACCCCACTCCAGTGATGAAAATAGACCCAAGCTTCTGATCGGCGGCCCACACCACGGGCAGTACAACACTCGGGAAGAATATTCCTGAGGTGCTGTAGAGACCGTTGTCCTGATTCTGGAGCACCTGTCCCACAATCTCGCCGGTTGTGGCGTTGGTGAGGTTTCCTCTGCAGATAGATGTCGTGAGTAATGAGTAGAGTCCGGACACGTTGGGGCCAATCACTGACCCGCTTGTCATGCTGTGAACTCGCGTCCCGAACGGCCCCTGGAAGGTGCTCTCAGTAAGGACTTGGAGGTTCACGGAGAACAACGCCTCGAACTGAGGCAGCGGGACGTGTTTGTGTTCCGCGGTCGCTGCAGCCGCAAGGCAAAGGCTGGCGAGACACGAGAGCATAAGAAAGAAACGCATCGTGGGGGCCTGTCGCAACATGGGTCTGCTCTGGGACGGGTGATGTTCGCGGCCCCCCATTTCTACGATGTTTTTGTGGAGGTAGCGAGCGTTTGCTCAGCGCACGTTGTCGTTCGTTTTCGCCCCCGCGAGCGTGCAGCGCGGCCTACGCGGTTTGTGCAGACCAAGGACGCGCTTGCCTCCCAGGCGCTCCTTGCGAATATGACAAATACAAGGACTGCAACCGTGAAGAGATCGCCACTGACATGTATCGTACGACCTTTAAAGGTACACACGAGAGCTCATACTCCGTCGCAGCACAAATTACGCCATACGCGGTTCAGATGGGCGCGAAGGCAGTGCTGGCGTTGAAAGTGAGGTCCACAACCAGGGAGCGTATTATTCAAGTTTGACCAATCTCCATGATCTCCGAACCCTCAGCAGTCTCATTCTAGCTTTGAGTAGTAATCATTCTCAGAAGGGGTCATGCCCGGGATTTGACGTGGCGTTAAGCGTGTTTAGAATCGTCAAGCCACACCTCGGGCCAGCGTTTAGGCCTTCATAATTGAGACGAGCAAGGGAGCCGCAGGTTGAAGGAATGTTCTCCGGGTCCCGCTGCTGCTGACGCCGTCTCCTGTTGCAACTAGCTTCTCATTCTTGACATTGCTGACATGAGGGTGCGCTGACGTGCGTGATGATCGGTCCATGAGCTTTGTGCATCCCGGGCGGGAATACCGCGGTCTCATCCGTGTACATATGAGGGAAACGCTGGGAAGAACCGATGGAGTTGGAGCCGAGCAGCGGTTTCGGCGCAGATATGATGTCGCAAGTAATAAGTGACGTAGAACGACATTGTTGCTGCAATTGTAGTTAACACACTGGGATCTTTGTGCATATAGAGAATCAGACGCAGTTGCGCATATCCTCGCACTGTCAAAGAGGGATATTGACTCGTCCTCTGTCGTTTGACCATCGCCGCCGCTCGTTTCGGTCTCCCCGTCGCTGTCGAGGTGCTAGGAGCTGGAGCTATGATTGAGTCTGGTCCATTGTAGTCTTCGCTCTCATCTTTCAACTGAGCCTCTACATCCTCCTCTGATTCAGAGTCGACCTCTGTCGTTTTCCGTTTCGAGCCAGACCCGTGGGCGCGGCCTTTGAGCTTCCCTGCCTTGATTTGGTCTTGAATCTCCGTCCAGAAGTGCTTATTGCGAACAAGAGTGTCGATGAACTCGGCGTCGTACCCTACGCAACGCATCCGATAGGTGCCTATTTCCTACCAAGGCATTCGTCACCTAGCTGAGCTCGAGGATGCCACCGAATACGGACACTCACCTCCTCTCCGCGATCAAAAGCGCCGCTGATATCTTCCTCGGTGAGGTTTGCTCTGATGTGTTTGAGCATCGGCCTCGCTTCTTCCTTATCCTCGGCAGTTATCGTGCAGTCTGAGCCTCTCCGCTTGCGGATCCAGATAGCAATGCAATTGTCTTCGCCCCACCTCTTGCTTAGGATACTCTTCACCCACGTCTTTCGCACCTGCACTCATAACCGCTATAAGTCATCGTATCGTATGCCTATCAACCCTGAAGGTGACACACCGACGTCTTTTGCTGCTTCCATGCCTCGGCCGAGAGGGAGACACCCGGCTCCATTGTATACTGGCCCATGTAGACCCACCTGCCGGAGACGACCCGTACGAACGTTCGTTGGATACCTGGCCACGAAGGGGCCCCGTAGCTCGTAAAGAACAAGCCTGAGTGCCCGGGTTTGGTAGGTGCGTGGGGATTGAAATCCAGGGTCAGGAAAAGCCAATCGTTCAGGCCGTGCCACGCCAACATGTCTTTGCCATGCTCAGGGGTAGTGGCTAGCGGGTTTCCTCCATAAAGATGTGAGATATATTCACGGCGCAACCGGCACTCTGCAATCTCTTTGGGTAAGGGGATCGGGTATTTGTGGTTGCTTCCCTCCCAAGTGAGTGCGTCGAGCAGGAACTCGTCGTTGAAGAGTAGCTCCTTCTTCACCTTGGCATCTGGCTGTAGGACGCGACTTGGATGAGCACCGCATGTCTTGTGCTCAGCTGGACGAGTCAGCACACCTACGTGTCGTAGCTTTTGGACGGCATTGTGCAAGATCTCGACGACCTCGTCAGGGTCGTAATCTTCCAGTGCTACCAGGGGTTTCACGTCCTCCTCCGGTTCGATCTCGATGAGTCCTGAATCATGGCGAGGTGCGGAGGCTGAGTCTGAGAGCTCTGGGAGACGCGACCGCCCTGCGAGAGTGTCGCGGGCCCGTTCAGCCTGAATCTTCTTCCTTCTACGGACGTCCTCCCATCGCGGCAACACAACCTCCACCATTGGAAGAACCGGACCGTCCCGAGAGCGATGCTGCGATACGAGCTGACGCCGAGGTGATAGCAGACATGGGGCATGAGATGGGAGCGACTGACGCTGCTGGGGTCTATCCGCCTGGTCGCGACCGAAGCCCTAGATGGGGATGTGTCTCCGTGAGGCCGCAATGATATCTCCCACAGGAAGACACGTACTGGCACTTCCGCTGCGTCCTCAACTTTCTCTTCATCTCTGGGGCGCGGAATGTCTAGGCGGCCGTCAGGGTGGTATTCACGAAGGCGCCGAATGGGGAAAGCCTCCGACTTGACAAGCTCTTGCTTGATGTCGGATGGCTTCGCATCCTCGGCTTTTACTGCACAGCACCATAAAAATTATAGCGCCACTGCAGGAACTTCTTCACTACAGACCTGTTGAAGTCAATCCCGCCTTTTGATTGGGCGGTGAAAGCACGACGTTAGGGTGCTTTTGATCTAATCCAAGGGGGATCGAGGTTGTATCGCCCTTGACGTCCTGTGTCCCTATAGTCTTTGATCGTCCACCTCATTGAGCCCCGAGCAAGCTGCACACCTGAGCATCGCGACTGATATTGCCCGTGGTCAACGGTATCGTCTACCCTTGGGCGATCAAGCTCCACCTTGATCCTGCCTGTTGTCGCAGATTTGACTCGACGCACTGCGTGGGATAAATCTAACATGTAGGAAAATGCGGAGACTGGATGGAATGCGAGAGCAAGTGGCAGTTGTTAGCGTGAGTGATCAAGGCGGCCTCTGGCCCTGGAGGCAGAGTCGTCGCGTGGCGGCCAGCAGTTCTACAGGTCGCTTACAGCGGTTTTCAAATGACTTGTCGTTTGGGCGCCGACAAATGCGCGCGCCACACCTGCGTCCGACGCCCACTGATGCGTCCCTTGTGGACCTTCGACCGACCATATCTCCTCGTCCGCTGCACCAATTTACTTGCTTGTTGCAGATCCCTATTCTTTGAGCTTCCCCGCACATGCACATATCGATTTCGTAGCAGGCTCCAATGCTCCTGTCGCGCTAGACGCAGTTCGCGTCTCCTGCACTCCCTCCAAAGTTCGGACAACACAATTCACGAATAGGCATGGTTGTCTCTTCCGGAAACCATCGGATTCACGAGGGTATGGTACCATCGAGTGGAGGATGTGAGAGGTCTGTGATCTTTTGGGAATTTCATTCTGCACACAAGCGGCCTGGGGGCAGCAACCCTGCGTGTTGTCTGGCTCTCTCGTCATGTGCTCGTATGCGTCATACTTCGTGAGTACTACAACATGTAGATGCCCCGGTAGTCCTATGCAGCATTGGAGGACATGTATCGTTACTATGGGACTGCTGGAGAGGACAGGAGAGGACGCTAGCCAAGATGTGTGCTACACTACTGTCATTAAGAATAATATGATTGGGGGTGTGCGCGCAGGCATACAGCAAAGGTATAGAACATGAGTGAAACTGATCTTTGGGGAATTTGATGATGTATGGTGGGGTGGCTTATGAGGCACATGCAGGTAGTCCGCATAGAAGCGGGGAGACGTGGAAAAAGAGAAACTCACCGTGCTCTGCATACTCTGCGCCACTTACCACCCACTTCCTATGCAATCCTCAAGTGTCACCATGCAGTACAAGGCAAAGGGAGTGCGGTCGACATGGAAGGTCCGGCATACAGGATGGAAGTTGGACGTCCCATGCGTGATTTGCAGTGCTGGGATCAAAATAACATACCCTGAGATTTGCTCTTAGAATCCCAGTATTGAAGGATCGAAGGCGATATGTGGAGCCGTTGAAGAGTATTCGCCGTCTCAGGTTCCAGAGGTGGCGCTTAGGGGGGACCCAGTGCGCGAGACGCAAATTGGGTCTGGCATAAGGAGGGCATCGAAGTCCGCGACGAAATCATTATGCGCATGTGCGGGGAGGCCCAAAGGATCAGAGTCTGCAAGAAGCGAGTGAATTGGTGCAGCGGACGAGGAGATATGGTCGGTTGAAGGTCCACAAGGGAGGCATCAGTGGGCGTCAGACGCAGGTGTGGCGCGCGCATTTGTCGGCGCCCAAACGACAAGTCATTTGAAAACCGCTGTAATGCCGCGCGTCTTGCCTCGTGATCGCACGCCCTTCAGCCTCAGGCGCCCAAACCAGAGATGCCTATAGCTTGACCACCGACCACGATCCCGAGACAGGGCCATGTATAACTCATTGCATCAGAAGGCTTTCTCTACTTATGGTGCATTGTGATGCAACACTGGAGCCAAAGTTTTTCCTGACGCTGATACTGCACTCAATCTCGTATACGGTAAATCACACGCTCTGCCTCAAAACGACTCGATCCAGCCTCCTTTTCTTGCTAATTCATTCTGTTCCCCGTAGATCGCGCCAGACCCATTGCGTGCCGATGCATGACACGAGGGAGCCACTGAACGAGAGCCCAAAATCATGATGTGCAAATGGCTACATCCACTGACGATAATGTGCATGTTTCTACCGTCATAAGGCACGCACCAGTGCGGCACCACGTCGCCCCTGTTGCCTTGAATCTTATGCTGGTCCCGCAGTGGATGGACGTTCTACGAAGCGCGCGCGTAACTCAACATCCACCCGAGACCGTAGTACAAATGTAGGTCAATCCATGCGTTGTCACATGAAAACATCAGCACTCTGATATGTACGTCCCAGATTCCCATGTCCCCACTCGGTCTACAACCAACGCACGTAATGCCTTCTCGCAGCCCCTCTCTACTACCGCCTATTGGGTGGTATTGCTCACACCATACAAAGTAAACTCAGGCACGAGCGGGTTCGCAGTTGTCACAAGTCTGATGATAAAGAAGTTGCTGTTCATCCAAGAGTACGTCGATGAGTCCGTTTCCACATGCCTGCAGATTCGCAGCGTTAGTGAGTACCCGCTTAAGTAGCGCGCCTTTTCTGTCAGCTTATGGTTCTGCGGACTTACGCATAGGCGAAGGACCCTGTACTTGAGTTTCTGATAGCATTCGACGAGAAGGAGGTGCGTCAATCCTGTCCCCTCAAGTGGTGTCATGTCCTGTGCACTCACCCTATGCCGTGGACAGTAATCGAGGCCAGCGTTCCATCTACCTTCCAAACATATGGAAGGACAGACGAAGAGAAGAATAGCCCCGAACTGGTGACAATCCCGTTGTCTGCAGTAGGGAGAAGCGTCGCGACAACATCGCCTGTATTGGCATCCGTGAGGTTCCCCCTGCAAACGGACGCTCTGCAGTGAGACGGCTGGAATTGAGCTCTGCGCTTTGCGACTTACCCCGTAATGGGTGAGTGTATGCGGGTGCCGAATGGCCCCGTCGTATTCACGGTGTCTTTGAGATCGCCGTTGATCAGTTGTCCTGCAAATAAGGCCTCGAATGTTGGTGGTGGCTGAGGAGTCTGAGCAATAACCACCGCCGAAAGCGAGGTGAGGATGCTTGTAAGCGACAAGAGAGTTTGGCAATGGCGCATGCTGTGATGTGTGCTTGACGTATGCTCCTAGGTGAGCTTCGCGTTTTGTGATGCTCTCGCTAACGCAAGGCCTTTATACTTGGGTCCCAGTAATGATATGCGCTGTCAATGACCCCGCATGAGACGACCCGCGTGAGTGCATCAAACTGACACGATCGCTGTCCTGACGTGAGCAACCACATGCCGCTGGGGCTTGAACTCAGCAAGACAGTCATGCCGTATGACTTCTTGTATCATCACCCTCAAGCCGCCATGAAGCCACGCCACTTACAGCGGTTTGCACATTCATAGGCCGTCTCGAGAAAACCACGCTCAGGTCGGATAGAGAGCCGATCAGGATGCGAGTCCGATCCGCCACTGAAGACCCTGGAGGGCACCATCGAGAGACTGGATTGAAATCGGTAATTTCCTGGACGTTCTGAGAATGACTTGTCGGGTTTCTGTAAACTAAACAAGGGAGTCAGAATGACAGGCAGAAATAATCAGTTCTATCCCTCGGGCGACAGTACACTGTAACAGGAGAGGGTGTCTCACCAACTGAGATGCTCCCATACGCCTGAAGTTTTGGCTTTCCATCGCATGCATGCCAGCCTATAGCGCTAGAGCTGTCATAGAACACTAAGTAGTGCGTGGTCGCCTCAGCCGAAGGCGCCTATAGCTTGACCGCCAACCATGACCACGGCCCTGAGAGGGGCCCGTGTCTACTTCATCGCTTCAGAAGGATTTATCCCTCTGCATGAAGTCATCCACACTCTCCATGCTACATACACAACAACGCAGGATCGCGCTTCTGATAGGTCCTTCTAAGTTCTACTCCTGCCTTGAATCAACAATCACTTCTTACGCAATCCGAACTCAGGGACAAGTGACCTACGGCTGACATCGTGGTCAGAGAAGCGTCAGTGGCGGATCTTGTGATACATGCCCAAAGTGTGCTCCTTAGTAAGTGCTATGTGCGCTCTTGTTACGCGTGCTCAAATGAGACTCCAATTCGAAGCGTCAATCAATGAGGCGACATAGTGTTTGGACCGCTGCGCTGTGAGGGGGGCGTAGTCCAACCCTGCCCTGAATAAACCCGTGCCACTAATGCCTTTCCTCTGCAGGCGTGGGGCTTGGCCGCCGTCAGGACCCAATCCAGCGCTCAGCCAAGAGACCAGATAAACCTGTCATACCGTGAGCTACAAGGTCTCGCTTGCAATCAATTACTGATACAACATACTACTCAGGTGGTTCACGCCCAAATCCAGTCAGGAATGGACATAATCTTCTCCGTGATCAACCCGACCCTGTCTCAGCGGAACCATCGACTGTGCTTGTACCGCTCTCGTTGCCTCGCACACCCTTAGCTCCGAAAGATGCCAGTTCATGCACCATCGCTTAGGGAACCCTCGTCCTCTTCGAGACCAACATGATGCATATACGCCTATGACTTGTCTACTTCGGTGTCTCTCTACCTCTCAACTCGTCGTGTTAGTGACGCCATATAATGCAGAAGTAATCTCCGGGGGATCCATAGTCACCATCGCCTTGAATACGAAGAAGTTGCTGTTCATCCACGAGTACGTGGGCGAGTCCGTTTCAACATGCCTGCAACATGTCGCCACAGTGAGTATCGTTGTTCGTCCACTGACCGATGCTCTGTCCAGACTCACACGTAGTTGTAGGTAAGGCCGTTCAAGGCCCTTCTCGCGCAAGCATGAAACGAAGGTGGTCATCCTGTGAGGTTGCTGTAATCTGGTCTTGCACAAAGACTTACCCGACGCCGTGAACAGTCATCGAGGCAAGATGCCCATCTACGGTCCAAACATATGGTAGGACAGCAGAGGGAAAGAATATCCCCGAATCGCTGAAAATGCCGTTATCTGTTGTCTGCAGAAGCGTCGCGACGACCTCGCCCGTCTTGGGATCTGTGAGGTTCCCTCTGGCGGTAGGAGTGTAGAGTCACAGTAAGATTATAAGCGGAACTCAAGGTGATATCTGACTTACCCGGTGAGGGGTGCGTGCATCCGTGTGCCGAATGGGCTCGTGGTATTCAATGCCGAGCCAAGAGTCGTCTTTGACATGAATATCACTTCGAGGTTGAGCGTGGGCTCAAGAGATTGTGAGGTCCTAGCCACTATTGCAGAGACGAGGATGCTGATAACCAATGAGATCAAGTGCATCTTGAGGTTCGTGTGCAAGGTATTAGTATGAACCTGATTGGGCAAGTGCTGGGACTGCTTCTGCTGCGTCTACTACAGGCTGAGGCCCTTTATAACAGCTTGAGAGAACCGCGCTAGCCGGGAAGGCCCCATGAGAGCGTAATGTGGGAACGCTGCGCTGCAAGCAGACGTCAACTTGCTTCTAGGGTCAGCTTGGAGGTCAATGAAGCGCTAGAGTGTTCCCTATGTAGGATACTGCGGCAATTGCGGTGGTGTCGTTATTTTCAGACTCTTGCCTTGCATAGCAAATGCTTGGGGGATTGATAGATTATTGAATTTGTTGGTAGGGGTCTCACACGTTGGATGAACGTCATACACTGACATGACCACTGCCGCCACATCTCCGCCACCACCCTCCCTCCACTCAACCGAGGCGCTGTATGTGACCTCCACGCTGTCAATCGACGAGTGTCCGCTGGTATGCTCTTCCGGTGAAGTACAACGTAACTGAACCCGTGCTTGTGCTTTTTCGGTCAGCCTGACAACATCAACACTGTACAATACTCTCATGTGCGATGCTCCAGACGCTTGCGCCTCGACCTAACCTACTCGGGACATAAGTAGAGTGACTATCCTGATTTCCGATGCCCCTTTGGTAGTCATAGCTATGACTGTATTGGCGCTGCTAGTGCCGTCGTGTGAATCTGAAACAGTCACACTCGACGAGCACCCTTTGCGCATGATTTCCTGCGTCTCAAACCGCCTGAGCTTCTGGCCCGAGTTTGTGTGAATGCGCCTCCTGGTCTCAATTTCACACAGCGACGTGCTTGCGCTCAAAGGGTGACAGTACTTGGAGAGAACGGTAGAGCTAGGTCAAAGCACCCGTTGATCTGGGAGTGCTGAAGGAGCTCTTCGCTCGCTCAGCGTCATGATTCGCCGTATCGGTTCCTGCATCGAATCGTCGTTGCCGTTACCATCGGTACTCCTTGCATATATTATCATACGCTACCTGTATCGCTGTGTTGAGGTATGAGTACGCAAGCATGTCTGTGCCAGTGTGACTGAACGTCTTTCTGTGAGCGAAGCAAGGGTAAATTCAGTTCTGACGCGACTAGTCGTACATGAGAGGGCCTAGCAGTGGAACAATGGGTGAATGAGGCACGATGCATCCGAATCAAGTTGGCCTGAGACGCTTCCGGTTCGAGCGCATCCCACTTCGTTTGCGCTTATGCGAAAGCACAGGCTGGAAAGCATCTTCTTCGTCCTCCGCGGTCTTCGCCTCAGCATCGGTATCGGAGTCTAGTACAGCGATCGGCCCTCGCTTCGTCCCCTTCTTGGACTTCCCCGCCGGTTTCGGGTGCGTTCCTCTACAGAACGCGCTGGAACTCCTCGTCGTAGCCTACACACATCATCCTGAATTTTCCTATCTCCTGCATGCAAAGTCATACGGCGAAGCCTGATGCAGGTTACAGGTCAATGCACCTCCTCCCCACGGTCATATGCACTAATGACGTCTTACTCCTTCATCGTTGCACGTATTTCATCCACTCGACTTTTATCTTTGGCGACCTTCATGTCCTCCTTATTGGGGTCAAAGTCGGAGCTTCTTTCACGACGCAACCAGACTCTGAGAAGGACCGGAGTACCCCAATTCTTGAGTAGTAGACCCCTCGCCCAGGCACGACGGACCTGTCAGTGGATAAGCGGCGCTCAGTCACAGACTAACGTGGTTTGCACGTATAGGAAATATACAAACTTGGATGCTTTGCTCTCTCCAGAGAGCCGCCGTCAGCGACACACCAGGACTAAACCGGTACTGCCCCAGACAAATCCACTGGTTTGCCCTAAGCTTCACGAATGTCCGCTTCACTTGCTTGAAGGTATTGCACTCCTCCGCCGTGGCTGCATTGCAAGTGGCGAAGTACAGTCCTGAGTAACCTGGGCGCGTCGGCGCGTGAGGGTTCCGTTCCAGAGAAGGAATGCCCAATCGTCGATGCCGTGCCACTCGACTTTATCCGGGTCCACTCTAGGATACACGTCCTGGGGGCATCCTCCGTAGAGATGCGATATATAGTCGCGTCTATACCCGAATTCGGCGATCTCCTTAGGGACCGGTATGGGATAGCGGTGGTTGATGCCCTCCCAGGTGAGAGCGTTCAGGAGGAAATTGTCGCTCAGCAAGAGCTCTTCTTTTATCTTGATGTCTGGCTGCAATATACGATAAGTCACTGGTGATTCAGGTACTGAAACGTGCGTACATTCTTCATTTCCTCGACTGCTGCACGGAGATCTCCTTGCGGTGGATGGTGTTCGTCTATGAGGAGGCCTACGCCGAACTTTGCGTTCTCCTCGTCTCGTTCCTCTAGGCGAGTAGCATGCGCTTGCTCAGACTGAGCGCGAGCAGCCCTCGCTCGACAGAGGTCCCTCCAAAGAGGAAGTACTACCTCCAGCCGCTGCCCAGGGCGCCGTTCATTGGGCAGCAGAGCTACTGCCTCTTCCTTGACTTCTGGTCGCTATGGAACGTGAGCAATTGTTTACCAAGGTGGCTACTCTTGAACATTCCTAGCGATACCTACCGGACCTTGGTCAGCCATATCGTGTCTGGCGTCTCTCAGCACAGGTTCAACGATCTCCACCATCGGACGTTGCTGGGCATCCATCAACGCGGGGAGTTGAGAGTTATATAGCGATGTGCAAGGCGGGGGCGGATGTGCTCACGACTCTGAGGTGAAGCCTCGTCCCACGCTCCCCAGTGCTGACTTTCTCGACACGGCTGGCAGAGCTGGATGGAAGTGCGGGCTGGTTCTCCCTGCCCGTCTTCTGATGTTGCATCAGTATCACAGAAGATGCACGCCATCGCACAAAAAGCTGACCATCTGTCCACCCTCGAACTCAGGTTCCTTCTTGGGAATCACCTTTGCCACCGCAGCTCGTCCGATTCGGTGGCGTCTCTGAGTCGAAGGCATATATGCAAGTTTAAAAGCTATTGCCGCCTAATCGGTGCTGGACCATGCGTAGAGACTATTGAGTCCAGACCGTTGTCCGATTTCAACGTTCAGTGCTCGAGGAGATCGATATGAAATTTACGAGGCCTGAGACATACGAAGCCTGGCAAGCTCTAGTGTGCGCATGCTCAGCGCAAGCGCCGCGAGGCATTAGTTGGTGACGTACACCCTTAGGAAATCACGAGACTGCAACTGTCGGGTCAATTGCCGAATCAATGGGTACATCACATCTGCACTTATTCATTCTTTTCAAGGTAAAATTCGAAGCAGCGAACTGAAGCAGCAAACAATCCCTAGCTCTAGTCTCGCAGTGAGTAGGACCTACCGCGAAAGCTGTTTGACGAGCGCTGAAGTCGATGTATTTTAGAGACTCATACATGGCATGATGGGCATGTAGTGCTCAGTACGACGGCAATGTTTACCTCAACGTGACAGCGAGAAAGTACTGAGGTGATCATTGTCAGTAGTACTTGCCCGCAAAACATTGACGAACGTTTCTCCTCGCAAGTCGCAATACATTGAGCGCTTTTTCAGAGGATGATCCTATCGCGAATCCTATCGCATTATCGATCCTGCCATATAAGGGCAATTTCGCCTTGCAGGAGGTTTTCCCCAGCCTTTCGTCTCCACCAACCTAGACCCGGTCGTCTCAGTAGGGTCGTTAACATGAGCGCAGATAACGAAAACGGTAAGCTGCTGGGGTGCGAGCCTTGGTATTACTGCTGATGGAACTGATGAGACTCGTAGTGCTCATCGGCGTCATCGGTGGAAGTGGCCTGTACCACCTTGACAATTTGACGCTTCTGTAAGGACTATCTCGCGACTTGTAATGGACCACCACGCTCACACTATCCCGCAGGAACTATGTGAACCCAAAGACGGTCCGTTCGGGCTGAATCCTCTTCATGCTGAGATCCTGACCGAACGCTTGCACAGCCATGGGGCCTCCCCAGCTCCCCCATCGCCATCTGCGCCCTTCCTTCCGGGACGAAGGTCGCCTTCCTCGCTCGCCACGGCGTCGGCCACTCCATCCCACCCTCTGCCGTACCCTCCCGGGCGAATATCGCTGCGCTGAAGTCGCTCGGCATCCGTGCCATCCTCGCGTTCTCCGCCGTCGGCTCCCTCCGCGAGGAGCTCGCCCCGGGCGACTTCGTCATGCCCGACCAGATCATCGACCGCACCAAGGGCGTCCGCCCTGCGAGCTTCTTTGAGGGCACGACAGTTGTCGCACACGCCGCGTTCGGCGACCCTTTCGCGAGAAAGCTTATCGGATGGCTTGAGGGGCGCGTGCGCAAAGTTCTTGAAGAGGCAAGCGAGGAAGAATATTCCACGCGCGGGAAGAAGCCTCAGCTGCATACGGGAAAGACGATCGTGTGCATGGAGGGGCCACAGTTCTCAACGCGGGCGGAGAGCAGGATGTACCGCCAGTGGGGCGGGGATATCATCAACATGAGCGTCCTCCCTGAGGCGAAGCTCGCGAGAGAGGCCGAGCTTGGGTATGCACGGTCTCGAAGCGGTCTTAGCTGGATGGAATCGCTGACGTTTGTCTCCCTCCAGGTATGCTCTGATCGCGACCGTCACGGACTACGACTCGTGGCGCGAGAACGAGTCGGCCGTCACCGCTGCCGAGGTTATCAAGACCCTGCACGCCAATGCAAAACTCTCGCGGCACATCGCTGCGACGGTCCTCGAGGAGCTTCACGAGGCAGCCGCTCAGGGCGACATCCTTACCGAGGAAGTTGGCGCGATGCAGTTCTCCATCATGCCGCGCTCGGAGCAGCAGAAGCCGGAAGACAGGCAGAAGCTAAGCTATATCCTTCCTGCGTACTTCAGCTGAACATTGCAAACCACACGACGGAATGCGAAGGTAGACGGAATAGATTTTGGCTATCTAGATGTAGAGCAGTATTGTGTATGTACAGATAGGAGGTTGACGGGTCCCGAGAGAGCTATTGAACCCTCGGCTTACTACCTCCGGTTGGTGGACAGTTGATTCAATACTTCGGAGTCAACAAATTTCGTGACGGTGCGATGTGTGTTGTTTTGACAACACGATACATACATATCAAATGCCATCGTACAGAATCCCTGTTAATTTGCACGAAACATTAGACACTAAAAGGACGTGCCGCAGAAACACTGGAGTAGGGTGTATTTCGGTCAGTACTTTTTCGTTGCTCGGACATCCCGGACATACATTCCCCACGAGCAATCACAAAGGAGGGTACTCCGTTCATTCCAGTCCGTCAGTGAACCCGCATGCCGCCTCGTGGCTCAAGCGATGTTCCGGTTCTTTGGAACCCTGCTACGCCTACGCCACCGTTTCAGGGCTCACCGCCAGACGTCAAGATTCCGACTACACTTTGCGAACTCCTGTGCGGTGCGGTAACAGGCCTGTCAAGTGCATGCGGTTAGAGGCTTCGCATTGACGGCCGGACCGCAGGGGGGTCGTATGCCGCGCATGCACGACAGCACCTCAGAGGATTGATGTCTGGAAGACGGTGGTCTTGGACTGAGTGAACCCATCCCTTCTAGACGGTTGCAGAGCCGCGGACAGCACGGCTATACAACTTGCCTGAAGGATGGAGGATGGTCATGGCGAAGGAGCCAAGGTTTAGGTACAGCGCATCATGAGCTTACCGACGGCAAACCCTGGGTAAGGCTGTCAAGCATTAACGTGGCGCACCCTACTCGGATCCTTATTTGAAGGGTTTGATCCGTAGCACAGGAAAGTGATACAAGTCTTGTCGTAGAAAACTCGAGATTGGACATTTTGGATGGGAGGGAGTACTCACCGTCGACAAGGCGCACAGCACCTTGTTCACCCACCATCTTCTCATACACATGCACAGGGAAAAGGGCCATACAGAATCGCGACAAGCAACAGGGAGGTGAGCCTATCCATGCTCTGGTGGGTGGTGTCTTCATTGGACTGGTATCATCAACAGTACGGCTGACGGCAGACAGACACCGCTGAACAAGAGAGTACACATACAGTTAGTGTGGTGACGGGGAACAACTTGTGTGCAAGTGGCGTACGAAGCGACAGTCGTTATATGCTCCGTCCATGCCGCAACACCTGCCATGCTCGTTGCCTCCTCCAAGCATCCTCATGGTAATGCTGCGCCTTCGATGCGCCTGCTGCTGCCCATGCCTTCAAAACGACGAGTGGTCCAGCGACGCCGGTCCCTTCCCACAGCCAAGCCAGCACTAGCAGAGAGGAGAGCTGGAAGACACGGTGAGTAGCACGTTGCACGCGGTATCGGCGATGGGCAATATCTTGGCGATTTTGACACTCAAGGTGCTTATCCCTGGCCTTTCATGCGAAATAGCATTTCTGAGTTGACATTGCCATAGCGAACGCCCCTTCGGAGTCTCAATTGGATTTATCCTCTATTCGGGGAGGCTTGGTATTTCTTGAAATCTCTCCTCATCGCGAACCTCGACGAGCAGCACCCGCCCGCACCGAACATCCTTCCCCCGACCGCGTCCGGGACCTCTCCCCACAGAGAAAAGCCCGTGCAAGGCATGGCCTCCGTCGTCGCGCAGGACACCGCCGGTATGTGTTCCGAGAGAATGGGCCGAGCGTCGAGCTTATTTTATTGTGCCCATCGCGCCCACATCTGCATCTGCCTTCCAGAACTGCGTCTGACGCTTCCGGTCGAAAGAGCGTCTACGTCTCCCTTCCCCTCACCAGGTTCGCCCTTCTACCCCCCGCCGCGCCTCGGTGCACACGAGTTCGCATCGCGCCCATCGTCCTCCAGGAGTAGCAACGGGACCCGCGACAGCTCGGACAACAAAGACAAGATGCCACTCACCGATGGTGCTATTACACCTACGGGTACGGTAGCCTCCAGCCCATCGCTTTCCGTAACCCTCAATGCCGCATCACCCACCACACCTACCCCAGGTTCCGCCTTCCAAGTCAAGACGCCCACGACGCAGATCACCATGCCTGAACCACCCTCAAACTCAGAGACACCCGTCTCGCTGAACGCGGCCGCAGCCGCTCTCACGAACAGCTCGAATCGTGACTCGCTCACCTCCTCCCGCCCCGCGCCTCCTAGTCCCGCCGTCTCACGACGAGCTTCCGCAGCGCTATCACGCCATTCTTCCACCGCCCGCTCGCGCCGCCAGTCCAAGGGATCCTTCCTCCAAGCATCTCACGAACCTGAGCCATCCACATCCTCCACGAACACCGTGACCCCCACGCCATCCTCACTGCCCCGTCCCCACTCGCTCCTGTTCAAGATTCGTGACTTCGCGTTCCCGCCCTCGGATGACCGGCACACGGGCAGGGGCCCGGATGCCCCGCGCCCGAACCGGCCGCGGAAACGCTGGTCTACCTACTCGACCATGTCCCAGTCGTCCGTCGACTCGTCGCGTGCGGACGACGAAGAGGACGCCGGCCAGGGGGAGTGGGGCAAGTTCCCGTGGAACACCCTGAGCAGCCGGTTCTCGTGGGGCCAGCAGGAAGGCGGGGCCAGCCGACCGTCGCAGTCGGACCTCGATAACAACTTCAACGTGTCCTCCCCGACGGAGGAGCAGGACGACCCGTATGGCGACGAGTACGATGAGGGCGAGTACGAGTACGAGGACGCACAGGGCGGGGAGGAAGCCCTCGTTCCCGGGCTGTACCGCGCGTTGTACGCGTTCGAGCCAGAGGGTACGGCGGAGATGGCGCTCGAGGAGGAGCAGATCGTGCACGTGGTTGGGCGCGGTGGGGGCGTCGGCTGGGCGGTTGTCGAGCGAGAGGGTGGAGGGCACGCGCTTGTGCCCGAGAGCTATCTCGAGCTCGTCGAGGCGGACTAGGCCTAAGGGGGCGGAGAGCAACGGGTGTGGGAGGAGAGCGACGGCGGGTGAGCGCTGTGGTCAAGGCGTTGCTGCGTTGCGATATATGTACTTCCTGCCCTTCCGCGCAGGCGCGGCGGCTGTATATCAAATCCTCCCCCCCAAGCACCCCGGTACTACGACTAGGTCGCTCCCCCGGATCCTCGCGTTTCCTAGGCCGCCCTCCATCATGATGAAATGTGATCAATGATACGACCTTCCCCTTCCTCGCGATCGCAATACGTACCTGTGTTCCATCGTCGTAGAAGTTGCATGCGTGTGCACATACGTGTTATCTATACTGTACGTCTCTTTACATCTGTGTTACCTACGACTCAATCACTGTCACATCGTTCACTCAAGTTACATATTATGTATATCCCGTGCAACATCTCCGAATCCGAGGATATTGGCAGGTTACTCAATGCTGCTATTACAGTCTTCACCTTGTTCATACCTTGTAGCCATGCTCCCGCCACCGGATGTGTACGGCTACCTGCGTCACAGAATGACTACACGAGCGACACCAATATTGGTGGCACCGAGGACGCACCCAGAAGACGAACGTGTGTGCAGGAGAGGGGTGCCGAGCAAGACTTACTACCATCTATCGCGAAGGACCGGTTCCTGAAAGCCTGGGATCAGCGTAACAGGGTAGGCAACTAAAAAGGCCACACAGTCCACCCATACGTAGTAAGGGGGCTGTAGGGTATGACGTTCCAGTTCGCAAGACAAAGCTGAGTCGGGAATGGCTCCGGAGTATGCGCATGGAATGATAGGCTCACAACGATGTGCGACAACTCCGCTGCCAGTGCACACGATAGATAGCCTGTAGCGGGCCGTGTTTAACCAAGAGTGCTCGTAGCACGGGTCAATAGCAGCAGTTACGATCTCAAGGATGGCATGCCTGTACAATTCACTGGTCAAGCTGATCACTTACCCCAGGAGTTCCCAGTGCATGGAGCGGCGGACTCACCGCAGACCCGCTCGTGGTGATCAATGGAGGCACGGAAAACAGCTTCGCACGACAATGCTTGACTATACGCAGGAAACGTCTCTATTGCTCGCGTCACGACACGGTGCCGCTCCGAATCCGACAGCACCAAAACATGATATGCCCGTCATGTAGAGCCAGTGAGGTGATGATAGCTCCACGCAAATTTCCATGAGAGGTGATCATAGGGTATTCTGCGAGGTGTAGGGGTGATCGACAGAGGCAGTGGAGGACCGGCAAGGGCAAATGCTTGCTGACGATGCTGCCTACTTCTTAGCAGTCTTCTTGCTCTCTACGAACAACACCCTACTTTTCACTATACGTACAGGTTAAGGTTAGGTATGGAACTAGATGCACGGAATAGGTTTGCGCACCTCGAGGATCGTACTTCACTGCCGCCAATCTAGGACCCAGCCGGAGCCTCTGCGTTGTATAGAAATAGCCCGTCTGGGCGGTGGAGACCATCCGAACAATGAGGGTCCTACGTAGAGGAGCATTCGTCTATGTCTGAACTGTATGGAGACTGTCTTTCGCTTGGAGCCACTCACCTTGCCTTGGATTTCGCTGCCATCACCAACGTCGAGGATCAGTGCAGGGGCAGCAAACGCCTGTCTCTTCCGATTGCAGAGATGCTGCACACGTGGCCGTCACATGGCTGAAAGCCACGGAGAACGAGTTTGCCGCCCAGCTTGCGACGACACAACGGTGCTAGCACTATTTGGGTTGCTCGTGGCCTATGTCCGGGACAGACCCCCGATTTACGCTTTCTGATACGTCAATTTGGATGCCGCAGAGCCAAAGATACGTAGCTGAAGTATGGTGGAAGATAGCCCCCATATAGGACGGTTACCACAGCTGCCGCACAATCAGCCATGGGGTCGCTCGACTAGAAGTTCTGCATAGCCTCGGAAGGTGAGTCTCTGACTCTTCTGAGTGAGAGAGCTTCCTTCCACCAATCAATGTGGCACGAAGGATTCACGATTGATGGTGAGTAACGAGTCATCCTCCTATCGTTGACACAGTTTAAAATCTCTGGCTCATCCTACCACGGTCTACCAGGCAGACATCCGCATGAACGTCGTCTCGAGTTTCCCCCAACACGAGCGAACTACCCAGTGGGTACTCACGGGGTTTGAGACCTGAGGGCCCGCACAGCGGTGTTTCACACGAACGAGAATGGCCCTGATCCGCTGCCTGCGATCGGAGACTTCTATGCGCAGATGGTCGGCAAGACGAGCCACGCGTCGGACTCGAAATACTGACTTGCGCGCGAAGTCTTACCTTCCGTGCAGGAAGTGAAACACCTAGTGCAACATCTCCTCCTGCCGCACAAACATCCCTTCGCGATCTACAATGACCATATCAGATGGGAGCACTCTCACGTCGATGTCACAAGCCCATGCTCCCCTAGCCCTCTCGGTGCTCTATCTTCCGAGATGCGCTTGATGGAATGATCTGAGGGGTACTGGCGTTGGACACGCCATATATACTCCGTACGTCGCCGCTCTCCTGCTCCGTCTATTACTGCGTAACGCATGCTACGCACTAAATTTGGCCAGGGCTAGATCTCTTCCATGGGAGCAACGACCTACAACCACTTCCACTTCCATTCACAGGACATCTATCACACCAAGGACTAGTGCTGCCGACGGCCACACGGGGGACCGCGAGCTTCCTGCGGCCTGTCTGCTCGTCCCTTCCCATCTGTAAGGTCATGATCGTTGGTTCGACGGCCGCTGGTTGAGCCTTGGCTTCTCGAAACATCGTATAAAATGCGTGGTACCTGTTCATGCTGCTGCTCAGGCCACCCACCTTGCTGTATTACGATGACGCGCATCAACGCTCTGCTAGCTGCCATCGCCCTCACACTTCCCTTTTCCAGCTTGGTGGGGGCAGTGAACGTCACCGTTCCGTTCTCCGCGCCTTCAGGAGCGCAAACCCTCTCGCCAACACTTCTCTCGTTCTCTATAGAGCAAGATAACTGGCCTGACTGGGTCGGCACTAACTCACCAAACAACTTTACGACTGCCGCGCTCCAGAATTTCGCTGCTCTCACTGGTACGCCGCCCAACATCCGCGTCGGTGCCAACTCGGAAGACAAAACTACCTGGTCGCCGACCGTCACGATTAACGTCGACCAATTCCCTCCACCGAACAGCATCACTCCGTTTCCTGAGGCTAGCAGTATCACTGTCGGCGATGGGTTCTATCAGCTCTCTCGTTTCCTCCCACGCGGGACACACATGACGTGGGGGATCAACTTCGGTGCCAATAACGCGACGAACGCTGTCAACATGGCCAAGTCGATTTTCCGCGCATTCCAGAACGCTGCTGTCATCGCGTCCGGAGTAGTGCTTGACCGCCTCGAGGTGGGGAACGAGGCCGATCTATACCTAAACAACGGACTGCGGACGGGCACATGGACTGTCAATACGTACGTCTCGGACTGGGAATCCATCGCAGGCCCCGTCGTACAAGCCGTTGGAATCACGGACGCAACTGGACCCGTCACACTGCAAGGCGCCTCGTTCGCGAACCAAGGGTTCACACCGAGCGAACTGTTCAACCTCGGCATTCTCGGCAGCACCCCTGGCAAGGCGATCTCTGTGTGAGTGTTTTTCCTTTCTCGACATGCTCGTCCATCACGCGGATAGGTACTAAACTGAGCTCCATTTGCAGGATCTCGCAGCACCACTACTCGGCAGCGTTCTGCAACGGCGGCAACTTCCCGCTCGTGTCGTTCCTGAGCAAGAGTGCCGTTCGTGGAAATCTGTCGGTCTTCACTGACGACATCTCTGCCACGCATGCGCAGGGGCTGCCGTATATTCTTGGGTATGGCAGCATGTCTTAGTCCTCGTGTCAGTAGTAAACACTAACGAAGGTGGACACTTGCGCAGTGAGACAAACAGCATTGCGTGCCATGGCGCGCCAGGCGTCAGCAACACGGCCGGCATCGCTCTTTGGGTGGTGGATTACACGCTCCATGCCTCGACGTTGGGCATCAAGCAGGCATTTTTCCATGAAGGAGTCGGATACAAGTATGACTTCGTGAGTGCCTAAGATCGCTTCGTGTTGCTTCCCCCTCAATACGAAACTCCAACAGTTTCAGCCTATCAGTCTAAATCGTTCCATTGTCGACGGTTCACCGGTCGACCCACCCGCTCTGCCTCACGTCCAACCGGCATACTATGGCGGCATTCTCATCGACACCCTCATCGGCTCCACTGGTTCCTCCCAGATCGTCGAGCTGACCGTGGACGACTCGAATACGTCCGGCTTCGCTGTATTCGAGTCTGGGCAGCTCGTCCGTGCTGTGTTCATCAACCTCAATTCCTGGTTGACCACGAGCACCGGAACGCGGCCGTCAGTGCACATCGATTTCGGGGGTCTGACAGGGAGCGCTACCGCGAGGCGGCTGGTCATCCAGCATGCGGATGATACGTCGAACGTGACCTTCGCGGGGCAAAGCTTCGAGACCCCGGGAAACCCCTTGCCTGTGGGGGAGGTGGTGACAGAGGATGTGGTCTTGAGCGAGGGCTTGGACTTGAGGTCGACGGAGGCGGTCTTGGTCGATTTCTAAGATTGGTGACGAATACCGCTGCACCGTTTCGATTATGGTACAAGTTGTTCGATGTGACGCGAGCCAGAGTGAACTCTCGTCTCTGGGACGGTATGGGGGCCTTGTATCGTGTACAGTACTAACCACTCTGGCATAGCAATGTTTTCAGCAACTTTCTGTACTGGAGCTATGAGAACACTCCGAGAACGCAGCCCCAGTGCTTGCCGCTGAAGACTGTCGCGAATCCACGGTCACGAGACAGGACACGCACGTTTTCGCGTGCCAGTGGTCGCAAGGTGAAAACGAACTTCTCAGTTTGTCACGGGCCGAAGACTGTCCATGGTACATTGTCCAGCCGCACTTGAAGCCAAGTAGAATATGTCCTCTCGGTTTAGAGTTATCTCGCACGTTGAACACTCGAAAGATGAAGGGCCGTGCACTGACACCAAAGCACGGGACGCCACACCCACCCAGATGCAAACAAAGGTACGAGCAATTGTACCAGACCTTCCAGTGCGATTTGAGTAAAGTGCGTCTTGTAGGAGGATGATCAGGATTACAGCCCTGGGGCCACCAACATACGATCGGAGCTGGATCAACATGTCCCTGGTAGAGTCGTATCGTCAATGCCGATCAAGAAGATTGAACGCGAAAGCGATAGACGACGCTGCGACTCCACTAGCCCAAATTCAAGGTCAAGGAGGAGATGCTGCTCAGTGACGAGTTCCTTCTCGACGCTCTCACTTGGGAGGGTCTCAATCACCGGTATCCCGTCCCTCTGCCAGAAGGGGTCGCAGAGTTCGGGCTGTCGCGCAAGTACATCTGCAGTCTCTACGGCGGATGTCGTCGAGGGACATTCATCAAGCCCGGCGACGAATGGCTGGGGTGGCACGGGCTCGACGACTGGGTGTACCTCACTATGGAGTTTGCTCCTCACGCTCCCACAAAGCCAGGACGTTCTGGTCTGTTCTTCGCGTGCAACCGGGCGACGGAGACGTGGCCTCCTGAGATCAACAAGCCACGCAGACTCTTTGTCCGCCTTGCACATTCTCAATGGGTTTACATGGGACAATACCGGATGGCGCCGGGCCTGTCACTCACCGCAGACGCGTGGAAACAACAAAAGGATCAAGTACGTATCGGTTTTCATTGGCCAGCATAACAGGTGGCTAACCTTGATTGGGATCGCTGTGACCAGGTTCGCCGCACCTGGACGAGGAGCATCCTCCATAAACAATGGGGATTTCAGAACCTCGCAAGGATCTGGATCCGCAAGGAGAAGGGCGTTGACTAAAGATCACCGAAGAAGACATGGAAGAAGCGAGGGCGTTGGCCAAGCATATACGGAGCGTCGTGACTGAAGAGGACATGAGTGATGCTTTTGACTGTGGTGAGGAGGTACGCCCAGACGTCATGACCATGGTCCCTCTGTACCGCTCGCTCTGACGAAGTGTCTAGGAGATGGGAACGTACACTATGACATGCGTTGGCTACGACGCAGGGTTCTTGAACACTCTAGTGCGCAACGCACATAACTACGTTGAGGAGAGAAAGACATCCGAAAACCTGGAGAAACGTGTTACGAAGAACGGCAAGGAGAATACGAGCAAGAGGCGGAAACCGAAGAACATAGAGCCAGAATCCGATGGAGATCATGCAAGTAGCCTAGTCTTGAGTGCCGAGGAAGAATATGCGGACGACAAGCCTCCTGACGATACGCAGTCGCGATCCTCAGGGCGACCAGCGAGGAGCAAACGTCGGAGGATGACTTGATTGCTTCCTGTAGGGCCACTGCCATATCTGTCAATAATAAGACTATGGGACACCTGATTATAGCCCGTCCGTCATCTCAATATACTTCGTGGCCATATGGTTGCCAAGAAGTGAGAGTTCTCGAGATCCATGAGAGAGAACAACCTGCACAGCGGCCGCGTGCTGCTGCGGCCGAGTACACAGCGCAAAGTGCGCGGCAAATACCGAGAAAAACACATGGACGCCGCGTATGGGGCGATGAAGCACGCGAGGACCACGCGATGCATGCATGTCGAGTGCACTCTGATAATTGGTTCAAGTACTGCCGCTGTTGACCTCGACAGCCTTGATCTTGGGTGGGCCTCGATCGTGTAATACAGCATGGGGTCGGCTTCTTCTCCATTCCTTTCGCATCGTGGGGTTCTCGTGGTGCTACGGTGCAGGAAACTATCCACGTATGTCCATACGTTCTCGTTCGCCCCTCATGTCGTACTTCAGTATCCGGGGAATGAAGTTCAGTCCTCGAGGGCTTGGCGGTGTGCGTACAGCGAGAGGATGAAGTGAGTCGCTGCATGAGCGTGTCTCGAGACACTCACGCTTGCGCTCAGACGGTCCTGTATGGGATGGGCCTGTTTCCGATATCTGTTCAAACCTCAGCCCGTGAGACTCTTGCCGCCTTACAGAAGAGATGCCCACCGATAACTCCTGAATATCAATATGCTTGTTAACTGACTCGCTGTCCACCTTAACACAATGTCAACGTAGGAAGCGCATGCATGCACCCCTCTATCGAAGGTGTCGACAAGCACTCACATCCTCTCCGATGGCGGCATCTATTCGATCATATTGGAGAGAAGTCAGATGTGCGCACAGGTGGTCTCCGATGTCACCGAAGCCAGCTTCGCCTCACGCGACACCTGCTCCTGGTTTCTCGGCATTTGTAGTTAATCGCTAGTGCTGGCGATGCGATTGCACGCAGGGAATGACACGAAGTGCATGCTCCACCTTACGCCGAACCAGTCCAAGTTGCCGCATAGTATGTACTGTCATGAACAGGATCAGATATATCTGTTTCCAACGCGTCTTAATGTTATGTGCTTACCGCGTGCTTAGGAAGGGATCGAGCCATGCCTTTGACGTCGTCCCTGCTTGCCGTGCGTAGTAGATTGTACGTGCACTCGATCGCTGCCCTGGGCAAAGAGATCAGAACCCATACAGGTGAACTGAGCAAGCGCGGGCATATTGGCAGCGCCGCAGAACACAAGTATCGCTACATCCGCAAATTACGCTCGAGTGAAAGCATACGGGCGTGCGACTGCTAGGCTAACGTTGTTCTATGATCGAGCACGGAGATGAGATGCAAGTCCACACCCTTATCACATGCTGGGAAGCATTCTTGCGATCTTCTCGAAACAGCTCGCTCCCGTTGCCCGTTCGCCCTGTAACCAGCCCTTCCGTAGCCCACCACCGCGATCCATGGTGAGTACGACATCATGACCAAAGGACACCGTCTACATGAGTGCATGCGATGAACGCTGCTGATTTGCGGTACCCTGGCCGCATGTCGATCGTTTCCGGATCAAGCGCGAACAGCTACATCCCGTGCACAAAATGTACGCTCCAGAGATGACGACGTACCACCATCACCCATCGCGCACTCTCCAAGAGGCCGCGCGTTGTCCGATGCGGTGTCGTTTGGTTTGCCGCAGGCCACGGGTCGATGTCACTGACAATCTGCTCCCATAACCTTGGGTGACGTTGACGGGTCATTTCCAGCGCACCCCGCGTGTGCACGAAGGACGTGTGCCCTTCGAGTGACCCGAGATTGTGATTCCTACGAATAACATGGTGCGATTAGGGAACTCAAGTTCTGAACAGTCGTTAACAATCTCGCGCGTTGGGTGCTTGTTGAAATTTTGCTATCAACGCGTCGTTGTCGGTCGTCGCCCGACAGGATCTTACGCGTATTTATACTGACCCACGTGTGCCTGGACATTTCATGTAATCTGTCCCCTCGGTCGCCTGTAGACCGTCCATCGATATCCATCATCGTGAGCTGTCAATGTGTCAATGACTCGAGTCACTTGAGTCAGAAACGCACCTGCGGTGGGCAGCGCACGCGCGGGATCCTCTCGATGGCGTTCGTTCGTCATTGTCTATCTTGTGATATCATGCTCGCGAATGCTTCTGAGGAACTAAATGCAGCTGCTGAGATGAATGGCGAAGCAATGTGTGCTGGAGCGGCCTGGGAGCCAGGCGGGGGCGCAGAGTGGCGGAAGCGCTGAAGCGTGGCAGAGCGCGCGGCGCACGGCTGTCGCTTACGCTCGACCACGACCACCAACACCGGCTTTTGGGCTTCCTCGTCGAATCGAACGTCTCGGCAGAGGAGCGGACATGACCGCAAGAACTGGTGCAGGGCACGGCGCTCGCATGAGCTGATTATGGGACCGGTCCGAAGGGCTGCGAACGGCGGTAATCAGCCTCGAGGCAACCACGACTTGCCATACAGGGCCACTCACCACATTGTGTAGCAGGTCGACGTCCTTGTACCCGCACACTCGCCCGCCACGTTGGAAACGCGAGTACAATGGATCGCCTCCTATGAAGGTGCGATCTCTTATGCTCCGCACGTCTATCCTTTCCGACGTGTCATCTCTCTCATCCCCCGTCTAGTGACTTTGGCCTCCCAGAACCCCTCCGTAGATTATGTCCAGTCTATCGCCTCAGCGCAGCCGGATAGTAGCTCAGTCTCCTCCCGGACAGCAAGGTTAGTCATCGTTCAGCTTCTCACATCGCCCTTTGTTCTTCGCATGGTGTCGCTTCGCCGGCCTCTCACTTCACCGTGCTTCATTTCTCTTTGTAGTCGGTGCGGTAACCTATCATCGATCTTGTCACGGCTGAGCGCACCGGGGCGGGATCGCCAACTCTCGAAACAACGAGCCATTGTTTATTATGTGCGCTTGACGTCTGACGGGTTAGGCTATCAACCGTTTTGTCGTATTTGAGCCCGGAATCGACTTCTTTACGCCAGCACGCTTCTTTCTCCTCCTGCGTTCCCACCCAAGCTTATCAGTCCACTCTCCGCCACAGCAGGTCCAATGCAGAACATAACTCCCCGTGAGATGACGCCCTCGCCTTCGTTCCGGGAGAAACAGCGGACGATCAAGGCGCACTCGATGCCCGCCGTCCCCTCCCTCGGCCAGGTCCTCGCAAGCCAGAACGGCCAGATATCGGCGATGTACCCCCAGCCTCAGCAGCAGCAGCCGAGCCCTACCGCGTCCAATTCGTCCCACCAATCCCGCCGCTCGCCTCCCCCGACGTCGCGCATCTCCCCAACGACGTCTTCCAAGCTCGCCTCCGGCCCCGCAGAGCGATCAGGCTCTCCGGCCCCGCCCCTCCACCACGCCCACAGCACACCCGTCGTCCCACAACTCATCAGCCAGTCCTTGCCGAACCCGCACCATCCCCGACCTGTCCCTCGAGCGCCGCCGCCGCCGTTCCTGAACCAATACCCGAACTCGGACGACCGGTGGGCGGTGACAGAGGAGCTCATGGCCGAGTTCGAGCGTGAGCACTACGCTTCTCACCCGGCAGGCATCGCCGGGGTCGCGTACGCTGGAGGTGCGGCGTCTAGCAACCTCAAGCGCCACGACCCGCTCAATGTCAACGTGAACGCCCCAGCGAAGGATCCGGCCGTAGAGCGCGTGAAGGCGACAGACCGCGCATCCCCGAAGGACTCGGATGGTGGGGGAGGAGCGAAGCGCCAGATGCCAGTGCAGATGAAGGAACAGAGTGGCCCCGCGGGTGCACGCGAGAGCCCGAAGGGCCACACTCGCGAGCGCTCAGGCACGGTGTCATCTGCCCAGGCTCAACAGCTCCAAGGCGAGGTGCGTACGCCAGAGTACCGTGGCTCCCCGCAGTACCAGACCCCCATGGCCAGCCCGAACGAGCGCACCGCAGGCTACACGCAGTACGTGCCGGAGAACTACCAGCAAGGCGCCCAGCAGAACGTGCCGAGGAAGCCCGTTCCGGGAGCTGTTGGATCCGATGCGAGCTCGAACCGCCTCACGCCCCCCGCATCGTCGAAGCTTGCCACGAACACGCACACACCCCCGTTGCAGGTTATGGGCTCCCGCCCGCCGGATCGCTCGCTCCCGTTGCAGGAACCCGAGGAGGATAACGGGCACGAGGACTTTGACCAGGACGAGCCGGAGTACTCGGATCGGCATCATGGATCTCCCACGCCTTCCTCTGACTTGTATCCTGAAGGCCACACGAACCGTTACGACAACCGCCACGACGATGACGACGATGACGACGGCACCCTCAACGAAGAGGGCGAAGAAGAGCGACAGCAAAACAAGGGCAGCGAGGACTCCGAAGCGAGTGGGTACACCCCTCGTTCCCCGTCCACGACGCTCCCCGAACGACCTCCGAACGTCCCGTATGCCTCGCAATCAAACCAGTATGTGGAGAACCAGAAGACGATCCGCGCCGCCAAGCATCGTTCAGGGATCACTGATCAACTCGGTATGCGTAGCTTTGATCCGACGATGTTCGAGCGCGACACCGTCAACAACCTGAGGAACGGCAGCGCTCAGGACGTTCCGTTGGCTGGCACACGGGAGCGTGCATCGCAATCGCCTCAGCAACAGCCCTCGCCTCCTCAACAGGATCCTCATAGACAGCAGATTCCTTACCCTCCGTATGATCCTCGTCAGTATTCTATGAACCTGAACCGCGTTCTCGACCAGCGGCTTGGATACGGATGGAATCAGACGAGCGTCCAATCCGACGACATGCAGAGCCTCATTGACGACCCTACGTCCTCGTACCTCCGGACTTTCCTGGGCTCAGGGAGCGTCCGACCTGGTGCACCCATTCCGCCTACTCCCCAGAGCCACACCGCAGCCCCTTCTCCCTCCCCGCTCATCTCTGCCACTCCCTCCGACATCGAGCCCAGGCAGATCGGCTCGCCGTACCCATACCCATTCACGCACATCCGCCGCTCGACGGTGTCCGGCCCCACGCCTGCGCTGTCCTCGACCTACGATCCGAACAACCCGAACATCATCCGCGAGCAGCTCGCGCTGCAGATGCAGATCTATGCACTCAACAACGGCCTTGCGCCTCCCTCCTCCGAGTCCGCGTTCTCCCCGTCTTCGACGCCCTTCCCGGGCCCTGGATACAACCCGTGGGCGTTTGTACCTGCTGGTGGGGGTCTCGGACTCAATGACCAGTCAATGGCGGCGAGCATCCGGTCGAGTCCGAGTCATGAACCCGTGAACTTGCCCCCACCCCCGGCGATGCGCGGACGGGGGTTGCGGCGGCGCGAACAGAACGGGCACTTGCACGCGCAACCGACTGCTCGGCCCGCTCGTAGGGCCAAGCCTCCTCCGCGTGTCGATAGCACCCAGCCGAGGGAGACAAGTCCGGAGCCGTCGTCTGGCGAGGAGACCGCAGGTGAAGAGCGCTTCGTCGATCAGTACGTCAGGGAGCTGGATGGGAGCGTGAGCGGGAAGGGACGGGACTGGAACGGAACGGAGATAGAGGTCTCGCCGGCTGCAGATGACGACGGAGAGTGGGTCGATGAGGAAGAGGATGGCGAGGGGGATGATCTGTTGGACCTGGAATTCCACCCCACATACGTGAGCAACCCTCAGAAGCGGAGAAGACGGTTCGACACGCGTTGGGATGCTTTGGTCCAGGCAGTAAGTTTGACGATGGTCGTCTTCACGCAACTTGATCTGACATCCTGTATCAGTTCCAGGCTCTCGATCGCGAGACGGATGCGACCTTGGTCGTCCTTGCTGCGCCATCTCACACTACCAAGCTTCACTCACTCGCGTCGCGGTCGCTCCGCCGGGACCCAGCCCTCATCAATTCTACAGCGCTTGCGAGCGTCCGTCGCTCCTTCTCGCATCTCGCGGCTGAGCGCCGTGCTGCACGCAAGGCTCAACGCATGTCGCTCGCGGAGCGCTTGTCGAACCGTTCCGATTCGTCCGCTGACGGCTCGCCCGGCTCTGGCACCCCAGGAGAGGTTGACCTCCGTCGTGCTCTGGACACCGCGCTCGGCAGTCTTGGTGCATTGTCCACTATCTACGAGCAGAGGGAGGCGCGGTGGCGCGATGAGATGCGCAGACTCAACGAGGACCGCGAGCGCGTCGAATTGCTGCTGGCCCAGGCGTTGGGTCCAGTGTTGTTGAATGGGCACGTGGGTGTCAATGGAGAGTAAAGTTGGTTCTTAGAGAGGGCTCCGCACATGACTGTACCCAGTGTCTCGACGCGTGTGTATGTTATTGAGCAGATCTGAGCCCATCAGGGTCTCTCTGTACAGTTGTATGTCTCGAGTGTACCCATACATGTACCTGCGCTCCATTATGTAGTTCTACATACATGCCACAATGCACGAGGACCTGATTTCTCCCCTGCAAGCCTATGGCCGTCGAAGCTGACACCTCCGCAGTACAAACGGTTGTAGTAGAAGGTGACGGCCAGGTGAGTTCTCTAGCATGAAGGAGGTCTAGCCTTGACATGCCCTTCTCAGTGCAAAGGCCGAATGTTATGGTTTAGACTTGACTTATTCAGTTACTCTTGGACCCTTGCTACCTTGCTTGGACAGACCCAAACGCTACACCTGTCTTAATATATGTGCTTGAACGCTAAGTACATGGAACAATTGCACCATGATCCCGATCATCGCTCGGATCGCCCGATCTTCCGAGTATGCATCGTCCACCGGAGAGCACCTACGGACGCAATTCGCCGTGACGGATGCGAGCCCTGCTGTTTCAAATTACAACACCCTGGAGTAAACGCCTTGTCTTCCAGAAGCTCGGCAAACTCGGCTGCGCGCAGGCTGTCGAAAATCAAGGGTCGTTGAAGTTAGGTGCGACATGCCGGTACGTCCACCTTTTCATTGACTCCCACCACACTTTCTCAATAGTCTGCGGACTGCAGAATAGAGTCGTTTTCAGTTCTGCATCACTTCTACGTCGGTCGAACAGGCTCCGGAAAAGCTACGTGACTGAGGAACCCTAAGCAACAGCGCCCAGAACCACCGGGCGGATTCATCTGGGCAGGGGGTAAGTATGGATGGAGGACGCAAGAGAAGGGCGTTAAGAGGTGAAGCGAGCGGAGATGAGTGGAAGCGGGAACAAGGCCTTGCAAGCGACAAGTGAGTCTGTCTCCTGCAATTTTCGTACTCGTGGGGGCTGGACGCTGTACGCAGAGGAGATGCCATTGGGATTCACAAGCAACAGATGGACAGCGCTTTGCACGAGCTTCTCGCAGCGAAGGACTCAGAGATTGCGCTTCTCAAGCAGAAGCTAGCCATTTACGAACCATTGCAAGCATCGTTAGACAGCGCAGGCGCTCTGGGTGCCTTGAGCTTTAGCAATAATGAGATGGCCGTAAGCTTGAACCCATTTTGATGTGTACCACGTCAGACTGAATCGACTACGCTTTCCCTTCTTGCAGTATAGCGGCCCCCCCTCGCGTAGGAGTGGTGGAAGACCAATCCAGGATGGAGGTGCTTCGCAGGGGAGTCCAGGCAAGCTAATTGATACCGACGATCCTGACAAGGAAGCCGCTCAACTTGTGGGTCCAGACCCTGCGCAGGCTGGATCGCCTTCGCCAACCCAGAAGAAGCTCGATCTCCAGGATGATATCGAACTCTCAGATCCCGCATCCGATAGGGAGATCGTCGGTTCCTCCAACTTGTCCGGGAGAGGAAAACGTCGGAGGAAGGTTACGTGGAAGATCCGAGAGGGGTTTGATACCAAGACCAGGAGTAACATCTTGTCGGACAACGTGTGCCAGCGTAAACAACGTAAACTCAATGCTGCGAGTAAGTGTAGGTCGCTTTCACATGCTGATGGGGACCAATTCTCAGCCGCCGTTCTGCAGCTCACCTTCAAAGGGACAGGATCAATGCAAAGAAGGAATCAGATGGCAGCACTCGATTTGCTCATTGGGATGAACAGGACGTCAAACCGAGTGTCCCAATGGAGAGACCCAAAAAGCCGAAGGTCAAGGTATGCTACTACACAGTATCACAGCGCCACTATCGTTGACTTCACATTCTCAAGGAATCCATCAAAGAAGAAGTGCTGCCGGAGAGGCTTGTTTCAGATGACCAAATCTCAGTCAAGGACGACCCGCAATCGCTATCCGGTATGGGATTGAAAGACAGCTGCAACGTCAATGTCGGGCAGCTAGTAAATGTGGGTGCCTCCCGAGGCCGGGACCAGAACGTCTGTACTATCGTGCTGACGTCGCTTACGCCCCTCCCAGCCCAAAGCCGAAGTCAAAAAGGAATTCCTTCTGAAAGAAGAAGACCTCCTCCAGCTCGTCGCCCCCTCTGCCCTCTGCCCGCACCCCATTTCTCTCCCCAGAAATCAACGATTCGTTACCATCACCCGCGAACAGCTCAAGCAACGCTTCGGGGGCAATACGATGGAGACGTTTCCCCGCCCCAGCGCGCAACGCATCGCCGCACACGGCTACAACAACTTCATGTGCATCAATCTTCTCTGGAACCCACACGGACCCCAAATCCCCGGGCATGGGGGGCTTTTCTTTGAGACGACGGTATGGCCGGGAGATCCATGGACGGCAAATCCCAAGCATTCGGCGGTGCAAGTGTTGTTCACGAGGGTGTCCCAAGGAAAGTGGTTGTACCTTGGCGAGTATGAGTTGAGCGACGCTAGACCATTGACGGTGGAGCAGTGGAATGGGATGCATGAAGGGGTGGGTGGGATGTCATTGGCGCGTTGAGTAGCGTATTCACGTCCAGACCTGATCGCCAGAATCGAGTCATTTGGCCGAAGGAGATCGCGGAGAGAGACTGGGGCATTTCGGTGCGCGCCCGCATCCACCACCGCAGAGCGCTAGGTCGCGAGCCTACTCGAGATGAAGTCGAGAATGCACAAGGCAGATTCAAGAACATCATGATGGATCAAGTACGAGCTGCGCTCGACTCGGGAGAAGAGGTGCGCATTGAAACATGTTTTCGTCCGTGCATTCCACACTCAGAACGTACCGCAGTCTATCCAGGCGTGGTCCATGAAGTGCGTCGGATATGATGAAGACTTCCAGAGAGAGGTCATTAGGCTCGCAGGAAGAGGCTGAGTATGATTGTCACAGAAAATCCATGGTAACTATACGTGTATGATCCAGTGCGATCCAGACATTGATGTATGAACGTTAGACTGTAAGGGGGTGAGGAAGCAATCGCATGAGGGAATAGGTTCGGGGAATTGCCGAATTGCACCTGAGAGAGCGATTAGTCAGCTTAGGGCTGCCCGCGCGCCGACTCAAAGCGCCATGAACTTGTCGACTTCGTCTTCTCATATAAATCCTTCCCAGCGACTGGCTCTCTTTTCAAAATAAAGAATTACTTCTCATAGTACTTCTGCTCTAAGAAATACCCATCCCATGCAGGTCTCCAGTACAGCAGCCACATGGTTCCGGTTCCCACCGACAATTGTCTGCACGCCCCCAAGCATTCCATAACTCGAAAGGGGATGCATACCCAATGAACTTGTGCCCAGGGTGCAAGCCAATGAACGAGGCAGAGCTCCACTGGGAACTAAAGTATCAAAGGATCCCTTGACGAAGCCAATGAGGAGAACATGCAGAAATCCATCGACGCCACCAACAAGTTTGTGGAAGAAGTTACGCGCATGAAGGGAGTGCGCGCGATGGTGACTGGGGTGCGTCATTCATCTTTCCGTCTTGCATCTTAGTATCCGGAGCGAAGGGCTTAAAACGAAACCTTCGTCAGAATTTCCAGCTTCGACTACACAATCTGCATGTGGGACGGGAGCGTTGAAGCACACAATAATTATAAGTTCTTCCTCGACTATGACCGTCGTTGTGACCTTCCTGTCAACCTTCCTCACGGCCACTCGCTCTGGTCATCGCTAGCGCGAAAATGCATGTCGCATTCAGAACGGCGGGCGAACTCTTGGGAGAGGGCCGCAAATGAGCTGGCCGTTCTGGTCAGGACTTCACGTTCCCGGTACCGCGCAAGCAACCTCTGCCAGCTGGAACCGCGCAACCTGTCTTCTGAAGGCGAGTTGGTCTGCCCCCCGCGTGCTTCCCTCTCGTTCTATGCTTCCTCTAAACATCTTGAGCGTTCCTTGTGCTCCCAATACCCCTGTCTTATCCTTGGCCGCGTAAGTGGACCGGCCTCCCTTACTAAGGCGAGTCTGGCCGTTGCATTTTCATAACTGGTCAAGAGGGATAAACAGGCTATGGCTCCCTTGGACACTGCGATCTTTCTTTTGCCTTCGCAAAGCACTGTATCATACGAACAGACCCGTGCCCTGGTGCCTGGCCATACAAGGCATCTATGCCCCACTACCCCCGTAACTTCGCCACCCTCAAGCCGCTATCCAGTGAGCAACCCAACCGGCCTGTGAGTCATACTCTGGGATTCACGGCGGGTGCAATTGCTCATTTGGGTCTTACGGACTACGCGCTGTGCTCGGACATCTTGGTCAGAGACGATACTTTGCTACGATACGACCCGACCCTTCGTAGCCGCACCTCCTACCATAACCGTCTCGGAATGCACTCCCAAATTGGCGACATTCGCCCCCTGTTCGAACTGGTTACCAGCAGCTCCTCGACGTGCCGCTCTGTTCTCAATGGAATGCTCATTAGTACTCGACGTTGCAAACCCCTGTCATCCGCGATTGACCTCTGGATAACTGGAGTGTCTATTTCGCTGACGCCAGCTTCCGCTTCCTTGCATATCCATGTCCTCCACATCTCGCACCTGACAACAGGCTCACCAGATGCTAAGTGAGAATAAGGGAGCTAGCGGGGCCCGGCTTCTTGTGTGCGGCGAGCTTACGTGACAGCAGCTACAAGAACCTAGAAACATCCGGGGAGAAGAGGGTGCCTGGGACAGCTAATCCTCGCTCTGCCGCAGTCCTTGTACGTACGCTGGTTTGATCGCATGACGTTGATCTGCCAATCTGAAAGGCGAGGCCCGGAAGGTACGTTCCGGTAAACCGCTAACCACCAGAAACATCAACCGAACCTGACCGCACTACATACACAATGCATTGTGATTGGCAACCGTCGACAGAACTCTGTTGTTGGTAAGTTGACTTATATGCATCTTTGCCCCACGAATTCACTGTCATGGATGGAGTCTCGTTTTACCTTTGTCGTGTCAAGCAAACATCCTTGGGGTTTCTGTTTCTTCGTGATCGGCGACGTCATCTGTGCGGGGATACAACACTGCAGTACGGATGCTAGCGCCTCAATCCTCAAGGACGGATTTTATAGTCTTGTCCATGACCGGGGCGCTAGGCCCGCACCCAGTGTAGCGGCTTCACTGGCATAATCACCTCAACCCCCGACAGAGGCTAACCAATGCGCTGTGGCTCGGAAAATCGTCTTCTCTTAGCCCAACCCAACACAATGCATTCACGTCTACGTGCGGTCTACAGCAGAGTCTGTTACCCTTTACTCGTTCCCCTCTACAGTCCCATGTGTCGTGTTGGCGGCGCCATATAATGTGAATACCATCTCGGGCGGCTCCTTATTCGCAAGGAGCGAGAAGAGGAAGAATTTACTGTTCATCCACGAGTACGTCGGCGAGTCCGTTTCGACATGCCTGCAACGCGTTGCTACGGTGAGTACCCGCTCAATTGGAGCGCGTCTACTACCTAATATCAAAGTACGGTTTTGCGGACTTACGCGTAGGTGATAGAAGCACCGTACAAGGTTCTGGTCGCGGACACAGAATAGAATTAGTGATGTATTCCGACACCTGAATTACGTTATTGCAGGAAGGCTCACCCGATCCCGCGAACAGTTATGGATGCGAGATGGCCGTCCGCCTTCCAAACGTATGGCAGGATTGCAGAGGGAAAAAATTCCCCCGAGTCGCTGATGATGCCGTCGTCGGCTGTCGGCAGAAGCGTGGCGACGACCTCGCCCGTCTTGGGGTCTGTCAGATTCCCTCTGAACACAAGAGATGTATCACAGTAAGACACTGAAGCGGAGCTCAATGTGATAGTTGACTCACCCGGTGAGCGGTGAGTGGAGGCGTGTGCCGAACGGACTTTTGGTGTACAAGGGGTCGGAGCCAATGGTCGTCTTCCCCGTCAAGATGGCTTCGAAATGGAGCGGGGGTGCAGAAATTTGGGAGGCCATTGAAGCCACAACAGCAACGAGGATGCTGGCCAACGACGAGATGAAGTAGCGGCAGTGCATCTTGGGATTTGCGGGCAACGTATGGGTCTGCTTGGGCAAGCACTAGTGCGTCGTCTGTCTTTGTTCCACCTACCAATTGGCGTCATTTTATATTCCAGAGCTCGAGTACATAGCGCTAGCTCGCGAGGCTGCATGAGAGAACCTGAGGGCAGAAGGCTGCGCTGTAGTAAGGCAACTGCATTCCTCGCCCCTCTATCTCAATCAGTCCCCCAGTGCCTGAGTGGTGTCAGCGTTGTGCGCCCGTTCACCGGCGTGCGCAAGGTAAGCGGTTTGACAGCCTGCGCGGAGCACTATGACCTTAGGAACTGATCGAATGTTGCTTCCGTGGAGAGTTTCACCTGAAGCCGAGTGTTGTCATAACCACCACCCTTCCGCCGCCAGAGTTCGGTCAGGATGTATTCAATGGTATCCCGAAATACTCTTCGGTTCTTTCAAGTGTACAGTCAGTCATTCCATGCCTATGCTATTCGGTCAGCATCAGCCTTACATAGCGCTCTGATTACTGTCACGCGACTCGTGCAGAGATGCTTGCCCTTCATCGACGGTTTCGTCAGCAATCAGCGTACTACTGCAACTGCTGCGCGTAGCAAGCGAGGCTGGTTCAGTAGAGCAATGGTCCAATGCATACTAACAGGAGACGCGACAAGACTTGGGTGAAAGAGAGCAAGACAGCATGCGAGTGATGACGTCGACGAACCTACGATATACACGATATTATTAGTAGAGCTGCGGTGATAGCGTATATCGGATGTTGCTTCTCAAGCGGCACAACACCTACGGCTGGCTCAATCGACGTCATCCATGCCATTCCATCCCGCATACCCACCACCATCAGCCCCTCCACCTCCCGTAGGGACCGCAGGAGGAGGCACAGGCGCAGTCATACCGGTATAGAACGTGAACAACGGCGCAGGAGCCGCAGGCCCCGCATAATCATGATTCGCATGCGCAGGGCCGATCGGCTCGAGCGGCGGCGGCGGGGTCTCCGGCCGGTCCGGCACGGCGTCGCTCTCCTCCGGGGTCGTCTGCGCAGTCCCGAACATGAACATCGGCATCCCCGGATGGGGATGGGGATGAGGTGGGAGATGAAGCGATGGGCCGGAGCCAGAGGAGGCGGTCTGGCTGGCAGCGTTCGCGCGGCGCTTCTGCTCGGACTTGGACGCGGCGAGCTTGCGCCGCTGGACCTTGACGAACGCGGAGAGCGCGTCGACGGCGTCGATGAGGTGCTGCTTGCCCGGCTTCTCTGACACCCTGTCCGCGGGGAGGGAGCGAAAACGAACTCAGCCGCGCGCGCAGAGGGACGGGGACGATGCACGAGAGGACGGGGCTCACCTGGCGAGCATCTCCTCGACGACGTCGCTCGCGCGCAAGAACGGCATCGAGCCCACTAGCTCCCTGTACACCCGCGCCAGCACCCCCGCGCCGCTCTTGCCCGCCGCGGCCGCGACGTCCGTCCAGCCCTCGAACCGCTGCCTCAGCCGCGGCCGGAACTCCTCCCGCAGGTCCTCCATGTCCGGGTCGTTCGGGTCGAGGTCGAGGTAGCCCAGCGGGTCCGCGTCCCCGTCGAGCCCGTCGCCCCCGAACCCGAGGGCGGCAGGCCCGCCCCCGGGGCCGACGGGCAGGGGGATGCCCATGACGAGCGCGGCGAGCGCCATGGGGTTCGGGCCGACCGCGCCCGGAGTCGTGACGGCGTCGACCCAGTGCTCGACGCGGTCCTGCCGCCCGGCGGCGCTCGAGCGCAGCTTGACGATCGCGTCGAGCTCGGTTTTGTTCGCGAGAGTGTCGAGCCGGGAGAACACGGAGGAGACGAGGGCGGCGCGGACGGTTCTGGCTGTGTCGAGGAGCTCCTTCTCGATGATCGCGAGCGCGTGCGAGTGGTAGGCCGGGTCGGACGCGAGCGTGGTCACGGCGGACTGGTGGATCGGAGCGTCGCGCGGGCGGAGGAGGTGCGAGTGAGTGGCGAGGAGGGCGGCGATGGCGGAGGTATTGTTCTCGAGCGCGTGGATGTCGAGCGCGGCGGCGAAGACGTCGGGGGAGGAGGTGGCAGATTCGGAGAGGAAGGCAGTGAGTTCTGCTTGAGTCGTCTGCGGGTCGGCGGAGGACGCGAGGAGGGCGGAGTAGAGCCGGAGGGATGGGTTGGATCTGAAGACGGCGAGCATCGCGGCGTGGACGTGCTTGCGAAATTGCCACACTTGCGAGCTGATCCGGTGCGACCAGTGTTTGGCGTGCGATGGTGTCGTGCGGCGATTGAGTTTGGGGACCCAATCGGCGTCGGAGACGGGCGCGTCGAGGTCCGAGTCGTCATCTGTGTACGCGTCCTCGTCTTCGTCGATGTCCGAGTCCACGTCTGACCACTCTTCGTCCGGACCGTATTCGTCGTGTGGGCCTGGTCAAGACGCCAGTCAGATCTGCAGAAACGAGTTGAGGGGCAGGACCATCGTACATTTCCGACCACCGTACAGCAGCCGCTCCAGCGCCGTCCAGCCCATGATGTCCTCGATGTCGTCCAGCATCTCCGGGATCTTCTCGATCTGCCGCCGCGTGCCCGTCGCGAGCATGCTCAAGAACAGGTCGCGCCAGATGAACTCCAGCACCTCCCCGACGTTGTGCGCCCCGTTCACCTCCCACGACTTCACCACCTTCCCTGACCGCCGCTTGATCGTGATCGGGACGTACATGCTCGTCAGAGCGCACCGACAGCTGCGTGGACCATGTCAGCAAGCTGATTCCATGCGTTATAGAGACGACAAAAATCGCGGGAGGTCCACGGCCGGACATTGAGGGTAGGACTCAGCACCGCTTCTGAAGCGCTTCCGCAACGCTTCGGAGGAGCGGCTCCACGTCGCTCTCGAGTCTGCTAGCGACTTGCGCATAGCGCTGCTGACCTTTGCTCGCACAGCCCGAACAGCGAGACCCAGACGTATATATCGCTGCCGGAAGAGCATACAAGCAGCCAGACGAAGCGACCCAATCAAGAAAGGCAGCATGCGGCTGATATCCAAATAGGCCGCTGCTCAGACGTCCGGAGGCGAGGGCAGGTTTCCGCCTCTCGATGACACAGGCCAGCGTGGGATCACTGGGGAATCGCCTGCTGTGTATCCCCCTAATCTCGCCAGCTCCAGGCACCCGCGAGAGGAGCCTGGCGTCCGAGAGAACGCACAGACTCTGTGCTTCCATACGCGAATGGGGGTCCTGTTACATGACGCAAACCGACATCCGGCGAGGCCACTATGCGCTGCATTCCGTGCCTCGAAAGCGAAAAACCACCTGCCCTCGTGTTCCTCGCCAGGTTCCGCCTCACATGAGGGGGCCAGCGGGGAGTCCAAGCTAGCACTCGCCTCAGGAGAGAGGCTCTGGAAGGCGACAAGTGTCGCAAGCGCGGGGTACGTGTGCGCCTCCGGGATGCGTATACAGACCCATCGGCCAAGCAGCAGTCCGTCCCGGCAAACGATCAGCCTCATAGCTGCATCACGGGGAGCTGACCATCGTGTGTAACTCATTGTAGTCAAGCACGCTTCGGGTTAACGCCGTTGTTTTATTGTTGACACACAATCGTACAACGAGCTCTACAACAGCACGGACGCACGCCGCTGGCCAGCAGTTACGGCTGCTGGGGATGGGACCGACACGCACAGAGTGTCGTGCAAAGTATACTCGTGCATGGGTGTAGTCATGCACGAGGACGCATATATGCCACTCTCCGGGCCAGCTCGACGACAAGATGGAGATCACACCAGTGGACTCACCTGGCACGCGCGTGGCCAATCTGATCGATGGTGTTCATGGTGAAGACGAGACACCTGTGCGCGAGCATAAAGTCGACGTTGTGCTCGTAGACGACGCGCCAGATGTCGTTGAGCCAGCAGGTGACGCTCTCGACCGTCTGCTCAAGCAGCTCCGTCCGGCGGGAGCGGTCGTGGACAAAGGACCGCTTGGCGTCCCGGTGGAGGTCGTCGAGGAGCGCGTTGACCTCGCGCTGCTTGGAGCGGAGGTCGAGGGCGGGGATGCGCGCGTGGCGGCGGTGCATCTTGGCAGCGGTGGCGAGGACCCTGTTGCGCCTGGTTTTGGAGGCGTGGTCGAGGAGGGGGATGAGCTGTTTGTGGACGATGGCGGATTGGACGTCGGTGGGGAGGGAGTCGTAGAGGGCGGCGAACCTAGGGAAAGCACTGGATTAGCCACTGGGAGTAGATGAAAGGTTGGGATAGCATACCGCGCGCTGTGTGAAGACATCTTGAATGCCAGCAGAGGGAAGAGTGTAGTACCGATCGCCGTCGGTGGACGTCGTCCTGTAACTTAGTGGCAGCGAAAGCAGGTGAGCGCCGTGACGCCATAACGCGTCTCTACACGCGTGACCGGCTGTGACGTTCCGCGCCCGGGCGGTGGCACGCGTCTGGTCAAGTCATCACCGCGTCTTGCCCTGCCCTCGCCCCCTATAGCAGTCTGCTGCTTCACTCTTGGCTTAGCTTAGCTTAGCTTGCGGTATCTGCACTGGAATATGGCATCAAAGAAGGCAAAGGCCCCAGCAAAGCCGCTCGGAGGCGACATCCGCGGTTTCTTCGCAAAGGGCAGCAACCAAACCGCTTCCGGCAGCTCCCAGACGCCCCCTCAGCCCCAGAAGAGCTACGGCGTGGTGAGTGCGCACCGTTACTGGCTACGTACACATCTCAGAACGGCGTTCAGCGTCGCGCGGCCGGCACCGCGCAAGCTGCAGCAATAGAGATCAGTGAGCCTGCTCTGCCGTCCTAAGCGTGTACCGGATTTCACAGTGGATCAACCCACTAAGGCGACGATGAGCAAGACAGGCGAGTACCCTCCGTTTTTCGTTGTATCACGCACGCCCTGACCGACTGTCCAGGAAGCCCAAAAAGGCTGTGAAACCGTACGTCATCCCACTGTGCTCCTGTCCTGCGCGTTCGACCGCGCTCTCATCCACGATGCTCCGCAACAGGAAACCGAGCCCTGCAAAGGCCAAGCCTGCCCCCGCAGCGAAGGCGCCACCTGTGAGTCCGTTCAACCCAGAACAGCAGAGCGCGTAGCAGGGCGCGTAGCGGGACGCTGGTGGACGATCGCTGTAGGGCTCGAGCGCATCTGACCTTGCCCTGACAGAAACTCAAGAGCGCACAGGCGATGGAGGTCGACGGCGACGAAGATGACGAAGCACCCGTCTCGGCCCCTCTGAAGCGCAAGGCGAAGGTCGTCATCTCGAGCGACGAAGAGGACGATGAGGCTCCCCCGCCGAAGAAGCAGGCCACGTCCACGAAAGCAAAGCCGAAGAGGGCGGAGAAGGAAGAGCCCGCCCCGCCCAGGAAGGCCTCCCCGCGCAAAGCTCCGGCGCGGAAGAAGAAGGCAAAGGACGACGACTTCGTCGTGGACGATGACGAAGACGAAGACGAGGACTTTGAGGCGGACGAGGACGACGCACGCGGGAAGAAGAGGGGCAAGAAGCCTGCCCCCGCTCCTGCTCCAGCGAAGACGAAGAAGCCCCCCGCGAAGTCGACGCCCGCGAAGGTCACCCCCGCAAAGACGGCAATGGCCAAACCGAAGGACGAGGAGAAACCTGCCAAAGCGGAGGACCAGCCCGCCCCCGCAAAGAAGCCAAAGTGCGTCTCGGTCTCACCTCCCCGCTCTCGCTCCTTGCTGACAGACGGGCCATCGGGGGCGCAGCTGGTACGCGATGAAGACCGCGCGCGCAGGCCCCTCCGCCCCGGGCTCGAAGCAGATCCCGATGGCGCAGGACCCGAACTGCCTCGCGGGCCTCTCGTTCGTCTTCACGGGCGAGCTGAGCAGCCTCTCGCGCGACGAGGCGGTCGAGCTCGCGAAGCGCTACGGCGGGTGCGTCGCATCTTCCCCGCATCCTGCCTCTGCATGTAATCTAACCGGCCACGTTTGAATGATTCAGGCGGGTAACAGGCCAGCCGTCGTCCAAGACGTCGTACGTCGTCCTCGGGGCGGACGCGGGGCCGTCGAAGCTGAAGGCGATCGCGAAGAATAACCTCAAGACGCTCGACGAGGACGGCTTCTTGGCGCTCATCGCCACCCGCGTGACGGACCCTGCGAGCCTCGACGACAAGACGCGGAAGAAGATAGAGAAGGAGGAGGAGGCGATCCGGCAGAGCGCGCGGGAGATGGAGGCGCGCGAGAAGGCCGCCTCGAAAGCCGCCGCGGCCACCGCCCCAGGAGGAGCAGGAGGAGCGGGTGCTGCGGCACGGACGGCGAGCGAGAACCTGCTGTGGACGGCGCGGTACGCGCCGCAGAGCCTGAAGGAGATCTGCGGGAACAAGGGCCAGGTGGAGAAGCTGCAGACGTGGCTGGGCAGCTGGGCGGCGAACGTGCGGAGCGAGTTCAAGAAGCCGGGCAAGGACGGGATGAACGTGTTCAGGGCGGTGATGATCACGGGCCCGCCGGGGATCGGGAAGACGACGAGCGCGCATCTGTGCGCGAAGCTGGCGGGGTTCACGCCGGTCGAGCTGAACGCGAGCGATGCGCGGAGTAAGAAGCTGGTCGAGGTAGGCGCGCTTTGTGTTTTTGCGACGTGGGGGCGAGGCGGGCTGATGTGCGCGCGTGCAGAATAGTACGAACATCATGAACACGTCCCTCGACGGGTGGATGTCGGGCGGACAGGTGAGTTGTTGAACATCTTGCGGTACAATTTTCGTGCTCACGCCCGGAGGGGTCCCAGAAAACGAACGCCGCTGGTGTGACGATCACCGACAAGTCCTGCCTGATCATGGACGAGGTCGACGGCATGTCCGCCGGGGACCGCGGCGGCGTCGGCGCGCTCGTTGCGCTCATCAAGAGGACCAAGATCCCGATCATATGCATCGCGAACGACCGCGGCGCGCAGAAGCTCAAGCCGCTCGTCTCGGCGACGTACAACCTCACGTTCAGGAGGCCGGAGGTGAACATGGTTCGGTCGAGGATTATGAGCATCTTGTTCAAGTGAGTCGTGCGCCTGGGAACTCTGTCGGGTAGAGAGCTGATTTGGGGGAGTAGGGAGGGGATGAAGATCCCTGCGAACGTCGTGGACCAGCTCGTCCAGGGCGCGCAGGCGGACATCCGGCAGGTGCTGAACATGCTCTCGACGTGGCGACTGGCGAACAATACTATGGACTTTGATGAGGGCAAGAACCTGTGAGTGCCCAAGAACCCACCCTGCCTCTCCGTGCGATGTGGAGCTGACGCAAGTGCAGTGTGAAGATGAACGAGAAGTACACGGTCATGACCCCCTTCGGGGTCATCAACAAGATCCTCGGCCCTGGGATGTTCTTGCCGACGACGCGCGAGACACTGGGAGACAAGATGGAAATGTACTTCCACGACCCGTCGTTCGTCCCGCTCTTCATGCAGGAGAACTACCTGAAGACCCAACCCTCGCGCATCCGGAACCTCGACGGGCCCGAGAAGACGCTCAAGCATCTCGAGCTCATGGACAAGGCCGCAACGTCGATCTCAGATGGGGACATCGTCGACAGCCTCATCCACGGTCCGAACCAGTACTGGTCGCTCATGCCCCTTCACGCCGTCTGCTCGACCGTCCGCCCCGCGTCGTTCTTGTATGGCATGGGCGCGGGCTATGGCGGGCCGAACGCCATGTCGTTCCCTCAGTACGTGTCTCCTGCTGGCTCCGGGGTGTACAGGACTGAGCAGGGTTGCGACACAGGTGGCTCGGGCAGAACTCGAAGCAGTCGAAGCTCAGCAGACAGCTAACGGATGTGCAGGCCCGGATGCGGCTCAAGGTGTCGGGCGACAAGTCGGAGATCAGGCAGTCGTACATCCCGTCCCTGTTCCCGCATATCGTCCAGCCGCTCATGGAGCAAGGAGCGGTACGCGACTTGCATCGGATCTCCTCGTGCACGATGACGCTGACTACGCGATGCAGAGCGCGGTGGACGAGACGATCGAGTTCATGGACGAGTACTTCCTCACACGCGAGGACTGGGATACGATCGTCGAGCTCGGCGTCGGGGACCACAACGATGCCGGCGTGCTCAAGAAGATCTCGACGGCTACGAAGACGTCGTTCACCAGGAAGTACGCTATGACATTTGACATTCGCTCAATTAGAGACTGATGTCTTTCGACTAGGTATAATTCTCGGGACCACCCTGTAGCTTTCCACAAGGCAGAGGCCCTCGGGAAGGCTCCGAAGAAGCTCGCCGCGGCGGGACCTGCACCAGACCTTGAGGAGGCCTTTGACGTGAGTTCTATCCTACCGGAAAATGAAAGGAACGCTGATGTATGCCCTTAAAGGTCGATGACGAAGTGCCGGAGGCTGAAGAGGACGAGAAGCAGGAGACCGATGATGATCCCGAACGCGACAGCCTCATCAAAGCCCCCAAGAAGGGCAAAGCCGCCGCAGGGAAGGGTAAAGCCCCTGCCAAAGCGAAGAAGAGTTGATTGGAAGGAAGGATAGTCCAGCCCTATGTCCCTCGTATTGCTATCGTATGTTCGGTTCTCGTCTTGCAGTATAATTCTCTTGTATCAGACTTGTAGTCATGTACCAGTTCCTCCGATTGGTTTCAGAGCCGCCGAATACAGTCGCTGCAAATCACCAATCAGAATCAAGGACGATGCCAGTCCCAAAATCATTCCCGTTCCACAATTTATCGACTAACGACAAGCTACATAACCCTTTTCAATCTACGGCGACAGGAGTCCCAGCGCCGCAGAATGAGCTATCGTACACCGTAAGAGACATGCTGTCCCAATCCCAACTCGCGTTGAGCGGAGACGGGTAGCACAAGAAAGGAGTGCATATGGATGAGTCGTTCGAGTCCGCGTATACATTCCGTTGTCTTTTTTCGAGTCGTTCCCAGAGGAGCACTGTGCCACCAGGTGCTTACTTGCGGCTGCGGCTGTCTCCGCGGCCACGAGAGCCAGAGCCATGGCGGCGGGCCTCGAGCTACATAGGGGCAGATCAGTCGCATGCAATGTTAATCGCAGGGAGGCAAACGTACCGCGCGGCGGTCGCGACTGTCTCCGCGACCGCGGCTACCGGAAACGTGACGGCGAGCCTCAAGCTTCCTTCACGTGTCAGAAGGATCCTTGTAAGGCATGCAAAAGACTCACAGCGCGACGGTCCCTGCTGTCACCGCGTCCGCGGCTGCCCGAGCCGTGGCGGCGAGCCTCGAGCTGAGATGTTGTCTGTCAATGGTGGCCTGAGAAGAGGATGCTATCGACATACTCCACGACGGGTCCTGCTATCGCCACGGCCGCGACTGCCGGAGCCATGACGGCGGGCCTCCAGCTGAAGAAACCACATAATTAAGTACAGAGCGATGTGGACAACTTGGCAAGGTGCCTACCGCGCGGCGGTCCCTGCTGTCGCCGCGACCGCGGCTGCCCGAGCCATGACGGCGAGCCTCAAGCTGCTTGGATGTCAGAATGATCCATATATGATGTGCGAGCGACGTACAGCGCGGCGGTCCCTGCTGTCACCGCGACCGCGACTTCCGGAACCATGGCGGCGGGCCTCGAGCTGGAAGGGCTAGTGATCAACTAGAGAGCGACGTGTCAAACTCGAAAGGGTGCCTACCGCACGGCGGTCCCTGCTGTCGCCGCGACCGCGGCTCCCGGAGCCGTGACGGCGAGTCTCAAGCTGTTTCAAGATGTCAGCATTCTCCACACAAGGCATGTGTGAGCAACGCACAGCGCGGCGGTCCCTGCTGTCACCACGGCCACGGCTCCCAGAATCATGACGGCGAGCCTCGAGCTATCATACTAGGAGTTAGAAAGCGAATTGCAAGACATTCATTCGGAACGTACTCCACGGCGAGTCCTGCTATCGCCGCGGCCGCGAGAACCTGAGTCTCCGTGACGGCGAGCCTCGAGCTGCAGAATGAGACGATCAATCCCTGAGAGATGCGTGACTATCTGAAGTGGCGCGTACCGCACGACGATCGCGACTGTCTCCACGACCGCGACTGCCGGAGTCGCCGTGGCGGCGAGCCTCGAGCTATGAAGGTTTGTAAGCAAAAATAGTGGAACATTGTGTTGGTGGCATACTGTACGGCGGGACCTGCTATCGCCACGACCGCGACTCCCAGAGCCGTGACGACGGGCCTCGAGCTAGTATTTGGTTAATAAAGCGTTCAGGTGATAACAGGCTAGTAACGTACTTCACGACGAGTCCGACTGTCACCGCGGCCGCGAGAGCCTGAGTCTCCATGACGGCGAGCCTCGAGCTTCAATACTCTGTCAGAGGCCTATACCTAAGTGATCGTGTGATCAACTTACAGCGCGTCGGTCCCTGCTGTCACCGCGGCCACGGCTTCCGGAACCATGACGGCGGGCCTCGAGCTGGACAGGGTATGATTAAATGCTGATCTATATGAGAACTTGGAAGGTTGCCTACCGCACGGCGATCCCTGCTGTCGCCGCGACCCCGACTGCCAGAGTCGCCGTGGCGGCGAGCCTCGAGCTATTTCAACCCGTCAGAATTATCCAAATATGATGTGCGAGGGACCTACAGCGCGGCGATCCCTGCTGTCACCACGACCGCGACTTCCGGAACCATGGCGGCGAGCCTCGAGCTAGAAGCAGTAGCTGTTAGTCTACTGTTTTAACAGCGTCAAAGGCATGCATACGTCACGACGGGTCCTGCTGTCGCCACGACCGCGGCTGCCGGAGTCGCCATGGCGGCGAGCCTCGAGCTGGCAGAGCGAACTCAGAGTCAGTCTCGGCAAGCGAGGGTGATGCAAAAGTACATACTCCGCGACGGCTACGGCTGCCTGAGTCACCACCGTGACGGGGGTCCCGAGCTTCGACCTTGGCGGGGCTTCGGCCTCTGACAGGGATGTCCACTACGATGCCCTTGTCGACGAGAGCGTTAGTGGGTGAAGCGACCTCGACGCTACCCGGAAGCTGCGAGAACAAAAATAAGAGAGGGAATGGATGAGATGAGCTACACCATAGCTCACAGGAACAGCGGCAACGGACGAAACGACCGCCGCGATGACGAGCAAAATGAAGTTGTTCTTGAACTGCATGTTGATGGAAGCGAGGAGGTTGACCCAGTTGTACTTGGAAGTAGCTAGAGATGTGAGGCTGGAGGAGGATCGTCTTCGACAATTCTCTTATATACCGGCATGGTGTCGCCCAGAGATTCCCTGACGATCTCCTGTCCAATTTTTGAACAGGGAGCGTTGAGGCTAAAAGTGCTTGGAGATGGTGCAACACCATCTTGGCATTGAGAAAATTCGTGTTCCTCGCTGCGCCTACAGGAAAACGCAGTGGCAGCTCTCCGCTCCACCATAAGTTCTTGGCACTACTGTGGGAGCAGTCGTAAGAAACTAAATATAGATCCTCTACCTAGTACTCAAACTAAGGTGCACGTACGTCGAGTTTGATGTTCTATCCTGTAAGGTAGAGCCTGTAAGTGGTGCTCGTGACAAACGTCTCGACATGACCTGTGTCGGCCGAGCGACTCGTAATGTTCACCAATCCGACGGACCGGTCAACACGATGCTGGAACAACTATCCTATTCTGTTAGCCATGTGAGAAACAACCTATGCATGTGGATCTGGGAAAGCCTTGACGTTAGGGCGTACAGCGAAGAAAGATCACTTGAGACTTGTCGACGGACGATTATGGTAGGCATCGAGCCCGACAGGCTGTCAGATGCAGTCGGTGTTCACATAGAGCAAACAGTCCGGTCTTGGCGCATAAGAAATTACCTGAGTTCCCGCTGCGCGCGAGCGGTGGGATCCACACGTCAGACGGACAGGGCTTCGAGAATAATCTTCACACGACGTCCCTAGTCACGTTGGACAGTCACGTAGGTTCGTCAACAACGAACGCTATAGCTCAGACAAGTCAGTGTTAAGCATCTTCACGTTCAGTGATGAGACTTCCAGGACTTACGATGAGACAGTCTTGATCCGAGCGCGAGAACAGCGCGCCTATTCTCGGACTAATGTGTGGGGCAGTGAGTTAGACGTATGTCTCGCTTCGTTATGGTGTCGCTGTCACTTATGAGAGACTCACAGATGAGAGCAAAGATGCCTAAGGCACATCATTCTGGCGATTCCCACCAAAAGACAGTTCCACCAGCGCAGACTTGCTGCGCGTTCTCATGGTCATGTCCGCTTCCCCGCCCTCTACACACAATCGGTGGATTCAAAAGAATGCGACGCCCCATATTGCACAGGCGCAAGGCGGCCGCAGAGGGTACTCAACGACCCAGACACCACCACCTTGTGCCGATGCAGGAATATCATGGGGATAGTCCCCTGCTCAGTAGAAAGCGGCACCGAAGCAGAATAGTCCTTCGTCTACGACTCCTGCGTGAGACAAGAGGCCGGTCTGGCACCGCAATGTGTTTACTTGGCTGGAGTACAACATCCGGTGCGATCACGTCAGGCCTCGCGCATGTACCGGATCCATGGTAACGGGCTCAGGTCCCGAGCACTCATATAGTTGAGCAATCTCATCACGCAAGATGCGCCGTCGCATTCGTACAATGCAAAGAGACTTGGCCACACAAAAGGAGTTTGTAGCGTACACCGTTGTCTCCGCACGTACGCAGCCATCCGCCCGGCATGCGACAAACCACTGTGCACCATGTGCACAGTGCGTAGACATTTTACAGGAAAGAATCAGTCGTCGCGGACACTCACCGGAGCATCACTCATCGAGTGCTGCGGAACCCTTCTCCTCGGCCCTGTCGTGTGCCACACTCGTCTGAGAAGCCCATAGGATGACGTCCGGTGCGCGAGATTGAAATGGAATTTCTGGGAACAGAGTGCACAACGTAGCCCAGAGGTGCATGAAAGTACAACACACCACGACCGGTTCCTAGTTCAGCTACCAGGTCGAAGCTAATATTTTCAAAATTGGACGACTCACTAAATCTGAAAGAGAGACAAGCCACTGAACGGCAGTGGCAGATGCGAAGACGGCTCTCCGCATCCCGACCGGATTTGAAACATACTGACGGGCCGCTGTCGTTTTCACTATGCCAAGCCCGAGTGACATAAGGATCGCCGAACGTCCGCTTCACTGCGCTTGTCGCAGGGAGTCCGAAACCGAATTTGCTGGAAAAAGCTCCTGCTGTTTGGTATTCATGCAATAGTATTGCGATATGCCAAGTGATCGATAACAAATTGACAGCGAGCTTGAATGGTATACTGGTATACACGTGCAGTGTCCATGAACTTCATGCGATGCAAAGTAACGTCCGAGACTAGGACGACTGTCAGCACTTGCCACAGACGAACTCTCTTTTTGCCGAGCGCAGGACAAGGACATACCTCTAAAAGCTTGTGTGCGATACAAGGAACAACTCGAGGAGGGTCGACAGGGAGGCCATGAGACACGATGCCTCACCGCGCCCTCCCATCCTCCTCCCCGAAACACAATCAACCCCAAACCCTACTACAACTTTGGCGACACCCTGGGAGACATCTTTCCAAGCGCTCCCATCCTCTCACCCGAAAGGTACATCGCCTCGCCCTTCTCCAGGTCGACGTTCTCGAGGATGACACCAGCTGCGCTCGCGGGAGACCCCTGGCCAAGCCCCGTCAACCCAAGCCCGACCATCGAGTCCGACACACGGTTCCTGTCCTTCTCTTTCTCCCTCTCCTTCTCCTCATCGGGCTGTGTCTTGGGCTTGTGCTTCTGCGCCCGTCCCCGTTCGCGCTCCTCGCCCCCCGCCGCCGCCACTGCCGCTCCTGCTCCACGTCCAAAGCGGCTCCTCCTGTCCCTCCGCACAGAGATGTGGGAGTACGAAGAGAAGGTCGTGATGATCATCCAGAAATTCACCAGCCCGAACACGAACACAGCCGAGATCGCGACCCGCACCCCCAGCGCCTGCGTCCGACTCAGCGGTGCGTATCCCCCTTGGGGGTCCGCAGCGGAGCCAGTGCGCCAGACGAACGACAGGATGGCGACGCAGAACGCGATCATCGACCACGCGAGCCAAACGGCGGGGGTAGCGAGGAGTACCCAAATGTTCCAGAGGAGCGCTGCGCGGGTTTTGCGCGCCTCCTCCGCCCAGCGGCTTGCGCGGTCCATGGAGCGCATCGTCCCGAAGTGCACGATGTACACGCACCCAAACGAGAGCGAGATGAGCGCGCAGACGAGCGAAAGCAGCGCGGACCAGCGCGTGAGCGGATCTCCCGCCGCCTCTGGGATCTGGAAGATCGTTAGGATGGTCCTGTGTAGCAGAAGGGGGCGTAAGCGTCGGCGCGTAGCATGTTAGGAGGCCAGGATGTCAATGCTTACGTGCATAACAAGGCGGAGACGAGGTTGAACGTCTTCCACTCGCGCATGAGTGTGTCCACGAAGTTCTCCCACGAGATCTTGAACCGCGCCAGAGCTGGCGACACCATCGGCGGCGTCCACTCCTCCGGGTACGGCAGCCCATTCGGGAGGGGCTTCGCGTTATTCGTCGGGGTCGCGAACCCGGTCGCGATGACAGCGTCGACGGAGGGGTCGTGGGCGAAGTCGCCGCACGCGTCAATGAGCCGCTGCATCTCGGGCTTGCTGAGCTCGGCGTCCTCAAACACGCGTGCGACGCGCTGCCAGTAGAGCGCGGGGAGGTGGAGGAGGAAGTTGAGGTACAGTATGCGCGGCAGGGTGTATGTGAAGAAGAAGTTCGTTTCGTTGACGAAGGCGCGCCAACCTTTCCGTTTTCTGTGGTGCTTTGCGTCCTCGTCTTCGTCCTCGTCAGCGGCCTTGCGCCTCCGTATGGGACACAAAGCTGCAGCGAGACGAGATAGCAGCGGCAGCGTCGATGGGAGCTCTGCACCGGATTTCGGGGAGAAGGCCGGAGAGGGGGGTTCAGAGGGTCGTGTTGGGGAACGCTCGCGGCGAAATCCGAACCAACGTATATGCGAGCTAAAGGGATCAGGGGGTATGAAAGGGTCATCGCGGGTATGATTGCGATGTAAGTTAAAGCCGTGGAAAACCCTCAGGGGCGACGCTGCGCGCGACTGGGCAGGAGAGCGTGAAGACGGTGTCGGGAACGTATCCCGGGCGTGCATTGCAGGGGAGAGATTGTGCGTTGGGTGCCTTGCCCCCCCTTGGCCATGGCCACGTGAAGGAGGCGGGGACTGGCTGTACGCATGTCCACGGAGGGAACCCTCGCGTGAGCGGAGAGAGGGAGACGTGACGGCGGAGTCGCTGTGTCCAAAGCGACCTGCGGCAGCTGCGGCAGCAAAACGTGAGCACCTGCACATATATCTTTGGGACATACAAATCAATCTGCGAATCCCGAAACTCATAACGTCATCAACCAGTGAGTCTGGCCCTCTGCTGAGGGATACGGAACAACGCTAGCCCTGAAGCACTCGGCGGAAAGCGGATGTATGCGCCGCATACCAGAGCAAAAAGTATCGGACATGACTATATGCGTGCTGAGCTATGATGTTGAGGCCGTGCAGAGCACTACTTGACGTAGTGATAAAAAGGCCGCTCTGCATACGGAAAAGATGGGGCTTCACGCATCTCTCCGTGTTCCTCGGCAACTCGAAGAGGGAAGCCCCTCATCTGCCTAAACCAAGTTCACCAGACTGTCCGGACACGAGCCCTGCCTTCTTCTTCTGTTTTCCTTTTCATGCATGTTCGCAATGCCGGTTCTGAGACTAGCAAACAGCAAATTGCAGTGGACTGCTGAACGCCCTTAGCAAGGGACGATATGCATCCTAGGGCGTCACCGCAGTGTTTCGGTGTAGAGTATAGCGCGTAACAATCGCGCAACTCCCCGGCCATCCGTAGAGAAAGAACGCAGAAGGTGCGTAAGCGAAAGACTCACCAGGTCTGGTATTCGGGAAAGACGCAGGGAGAGAGCGCTCGCTCTCATTCCTTTGCCTTGGGGTATCCTTGGTAACCGAGGAGTCGGACTCGCTCTGTCGTATGGCTCCAGGAAGGGAATGCAAGGCCCCCAACGCCCCCAAGCTTCCGGAAGAGGAGTCAATGGAAGTGAGGGAACTTGATGCCTCAGCAGTTCTACGGGCATTGCGGCTGCTTGTCCTGATGCGGTCGAGGAGAGGGGTGGATTGCGATGGAAGGGCGGTAAGCTTGTCAGAGCTGGTCAGGTTGGACGAGGAGGAATGGGACTCTGTACCTGACGTTGAACGCAGTGAGCTGGAGGGCTGTGATACTTCACTCACCTTTCAGCCTCTCCTCCCCACTCTCCGACGGGAAGGGTACGGAGTTTGAGCGTTTGGGAGGCGAAGGACGCCCAGAAGGGGCGGCGGGGGAATCTGAGTTCGTCGGCGTTGACATCGCTAGCGAGGGGTAGTACCAGGCGTTGGGATCGTCAGTGGTCGTCACAGGCACGTCAATCGTCGCACTGAGGGGAGGCGTGTATGCTGTTGTACCGTTGTCGTGGTCAGGGCATGGAGGACTTTACAAGCGGGTATAAGGACGAAAACAGTCCCGCAGACAGCAAGTACCCACGGTTTCCCAAATGGGTAGTCCTACGCGTCGGTGGCAGCGGGCGCCTCGGACGCGCCTCGACGCGTCACATTAATCTTGCGCCGGTCCCCGGACCTCCTTGATGCGGCCACTGAATTCGACCTGAACAAGCGAAGTCCGTGCGCATATCTTCCTTGTACATGATCTGGTCTAACATACTGTGCTGCTTGATCGTCTCCGAGTCCATTTTATCACGCATACATTTAACCTTAACGGTCGATTCTGGCATACTTCCACCAACGTGGATACCACTGCGCCCCAGCCGTCTTCATTTGTTCTAATTAATGGTCAAGGAAACGAGGGAGACAAGGCTCAAGAGAAGCCAAGGGCGCTGTAAAGGGTCGGGAATGGTGCCAGTCTCCTCTCTCTTCCAGATGCACTCGATGCAAGGGTTTACGTGCCATAAATCATGTCGTATCCACGCGATATCAGCCTATCTTCTCCCCCACGAGAGCTACTTTTGGTCGAGTTTCAACGGGATGCGATGCGCATGCACCCCCGAAGTCTCGTCGTGGCCGCTGCAACTGGCGAGGCATGCTCGCCAATCCGTTACTCCGTGCATTGTACGTCTGACTGCATCCGATCCATCGAATCCCGGCAGATGGTGCAGGCGCTGAGCGCTGAACGCCGAACGAGCGCATGACACCGTAGATCGTCAGCCCGGTTTACATGATCTGTACTGCTACAGGCTGTCAAGATACTTGGTGGGAGCTGTATCTAGGAACGCATCAACTTGCGAGGCACACACCATAATGAAACAGGGTACCGATGACAGCAGGAAAGCTCATCCTTGTCTAGATCTCCTTGTGCAAATTCGATACGGTGGGGATACGGGTCGTGAAGAGTCAGTTCTCAGCTTGTGAAGGCGCCACTACAGTCGTTTGCATCTGGTGAACTGACATTCGACATTCACAAGTCCGTGGCTCAGCCTTCAGCGCTTACATAGCTTTGCGCGGTGGAAGCTGAGCAGCCTGTGAGCGGTAGCAAACCTTTGATGGTGCTTGGGCTCCTTGCCATTGGACATGGAGGAAATGGGTACACTACTCGGGGTCAGATGATCAGAGGGCATGGTATGGAGATTGCTTAGGGTAGGCTATTCGTACATACAACATAACTCGATGGTACATGCGCTGGTGGTACATACATAGACTGTTGGGTGGAGAATACAGTGTCTCCTGCGAGAAGGGTAGAATTACAGCTTGTTTGCTTATGGGTCACAAGCGAGCAACATGAACCGCCTAAGGGCTTCACCGCCGCGCCTGCGGAGACGCGGGCTTGCCGGTCGGGATGGGGGCATGCGGAACAGGGGCATGAGGGAGACGAAGCTTGAGGCCTGCAATTCGCGATGTCAAAAAACAGGGGTCGACACACTGTACCAGGAAGTGCTCACCGAGGTCCTCAGCAATGAGGTCAGCGCCCTTCTCGCCGACCAAGAGGGCGGACGAGTACGTGTTCGTGCCGAGGTTATCTGGGCATATCGAGAGGTCGACGCACTTGAGGTTCTCCGTACCGTAGACGTTGAGACGCTTGTCGACAACACCACCCTGCTCGCGCGGCTTCATTGCGCAAGTGCCGAGCGAGTGCCAGGTGGTCTCGACGTGGTCCGCAATCCAGTCGTCGATGGCCTTGTCATCCTCCTCGGTGTACTTGATGTCCTCGTGCACCTTCGACGCGTCGAAGGGCTCCGACGGGCGGTGCCACGTACCCATGTGGATACCGACGGTCAAGCTGTTCGGGAGTATCTCCCTCGCGGTCTTGATATCGATGTCGCGGCATGCCGCAGATGAGTCGGGGTGGAAGTGCGGGTGGTGCGAGGCGAGCTCCCCGCGGAAAGCTGTGGGCAAACGTGAGCGAACTGTAAAACTGCAGAGGCTCGAGAAAGCCCTCATACCATCCATGCGGCGGGCGACCTCACGCGTCTTCTTATAGCTCCAGCGGATCGGCGCGAAGTCGGCCTTGTTATTCATGAAGCCGGAGTCAAAGAACGGCTCGACGTATGGGTTGGCGCTCTTGATGTGGATCTTGCCGCGCGACGCGGGGTACTCGAGGTACTGGAACATCGTGACGTACTTTCCAGGCGGGAGGAGGGAGTGGTCCGCGTATGCGCCCGCGACGATGGAGCCGAACATGACAGGCTTGTCGGGCTTGTCCTTGAAGTAGCGGTCCCAGAGCTCGTTGAACTCGGGGCCCATCTCCTTCAGCTCCTCCTCGGTGGGACGGATCTTGAATCCAGCGTCGATGGCGTTCGATGAGAGGCGCGCCTTCTCCGGGCTGGTCTCCCACTCGGCGAAGAGCTCCTTCTGGACCTCCTTGTCGCCACGGAGGAAGTCGTCGAGGGTCGACGTCTCATTCGAGACACGATAGACTAGGAAGTTGAGATAAGTGAAGACAATCAGCATCTTTCGCGGGCTAAGTCAGGAGAGCGACTCACTGGAGAGAGTAGTGTAATGGTCCTGGTACTCCTCACCGACGCCCGGGAGGTCACTAACGACGGGGATGTTCAGCTTGTTCAGGAGCTCGGCGTTACCGACACCAGAGCGCTCGAGGATCTACGCCAAAGACCGATTTAGATCCATGTCGCACGACATACAGGGCCCGAAGATTCGCTCACCTGCGGAGTACCGAGCGTACCGGAGCTCAACACGACCATCTTGCGAGCCTTGACGATGGTCTCGACGACCTGCCCATTGTTCGCACGATTGCGCGAAGGCACATAGGCGACACCGACGGCCTTGTTGTTCCCGTCGAAGAGGACGCGGTTGACGCGCGCGTTGCAGCGGAGATAGAGATTACTCTGCACGTCCATGACGCTGTGGACATACGCTGCGGGAAAGGATCATTACTCGGTTTACGTTATGGCTAAGTAGTATGGCCCATACCAGTTGCGGCATCGGAACGACGGCCGGTATGGCGATTGATATACTTCGCCCAGATCTCAGCGCCGTGAGCGGTCTTCAGATCCTGAATATCATCTGCCGCGAACGCGTGTCATCTTTTATTCAAGATGCGAAAACCTTGAGAATCTGAAACCTACCGCTATAGGGAACGCCAATGGCGTGCGCTGCGCGGAGGAAGTCTTGAGCCACAGGCTGAATCTGTCCACCGTTGCTGATGGCGATAGGGCCGTCGTAGCCGTGAGTGTCGTTGTTCACCGGCTTCTGGTAGTTCTCGAGACGCTTCATGAGGGGGAGGAGGTCGTTCGCGGTCCAGCCCTCCATCTTGAAGTCGTCTGTGTAGTATAAGTCAAGTTAACAGTTACTACTATACGTCCTCGACCAACTTACCCCAGTCGGAAGCGGATGCACGAGTGTACATCTGGAAGTTGATACTGGAACCACCGCCTAAGATATTCGCGCAAGGCACGATGGCCTGGCGACCACGGAGGTACGACGACTTCATGGTGTCCGTGTAGAACGTGGCTTTGTCATTCCTGGGATACTGTGGTAAGCGACCCTTCGTGACTCTGCAGGACCCAAAGGCACTTACACCCCATCGCGCTGCATGTTGCGCACGTAAATACCGGGGCGGTACACCCAGGGGTCATCGCGGTTGTTTGCACCACCTAGCACAACATAATGTCAAAGGCAAGACTTGGGCTCCAACAGGTCTGTACGTACCCTCAATGAGCATGACCTTGAGGGTGGGGTCGGCATAGGCGAGACGGCCAGCAACGACGGACCCAGCGGGACCACCACTGTGGGAAGGGTCAA